GTTTTGTGTTTTGTTTTGAGGGGGGGGGGGGGGGAAGGGTAACTGCTTAGACTGTAGGGATTGTTGAATAGGCATGAGGCTGAGGGGCCGCGGGGCTGTGCGCTGGCAACAGGATCAAACACACAGGGGCCACAGTCCTCATTAAGGAGGCCACGCTGGGGGTGGGAGCTCCAAGACCCCAAGGGTCCTGGGACACTCCAGGGGAAAGATGGCTTGTTTATGTGAATCGAGTGTGCGTGCATTTCTGATTGAAAGCTCAAGACTGCTCCAAGTCAGTGCATACAATAATGTGGTTATGTGTTTCTGGCAGCATATGTCTCATGGATTCATACACACTGAGGCCAGTGGCGGAGGGGGAGGGAACCGCCCCTTCTCTGAGTGCACCGCGGTGTCACAGCCCAATGACAATTACGTGGAAATGTGTGGGAGCACGGGCCTTGATGGAGAAAATGTGGGCTGCCTACAGAGCCCAGGGTCTGCTAATCACTCAGAAAGATAGACTAAAAAATGGTATAATCAATTCAAAGGCCAGGGATGTATAATTGCCAAGGAAATTGACTATTGTAGTTAGACTGAGGGCAGTGCATGGAGTAAAAGCTCTGGTTACAGCGGGGGTTGTGTGAGTGAATTGTCTCTTTTAATACAGTAACTGCTGCAGCTCCTATATTGGAGTACTCTTTACTGCTAGGACAGCATTTAGTTGAATAAATATATATTTTTACTGACTACCAGAAATGTGAGTAATGAGTTCATTCTGGTCAATGACACTTTAAGACATCACAGAAATATAGTTGAGTATTTTATGAAAATATTGTTGATTTTGAACATACTGAGATCTCTGTAGCCAGGTGGTCAGCAGTGGTATTGCAAGCAAAACAACCTTTTCAGTGGCTATATAAACAATGGATGTGGATATGCCCAAATGTCTAAGTACTGATATTCATGACAGTAGGACAAGGAGGTATTGTGTACATCACTTATGCGTCCCATCTAGCAGTGGTTCAGAGCAAATAACAAATGACAATGGTGTTAGGCTCCACATCTATATGGAATTTTTATCCAAATTCAACATCCATATTGGTTAAAATTGTAGAAAAAAAAAAGAAAAATTTTAGTTTTAAATGGCTGATTTTCTAGGAGCCCTGGGGTTTGACTCGCTCCAGCCTGACTGTCCTCGTTCTCTGTAACTTGGATTAAATCAGGGCAGCAGTCTGGGTTTGTTCCTGGGTTCTTTGTGCTGACAGAGACGTCCAGTTTCACAGGAACAGTGACCAGCTCTGCACAACAACCCAAAGTATGTAATATTAAAGGCCACACACAGTTAGCACAACAGTCCTGTGAGCAGGGAGCTGAATTCTGTTACTTGTTTCGACCTCAGAGCACCTGCTTGAGGAAATTCAGAACTGGTAGTCGACAGTTTTGCCCAGAGAGAAAAGCATTCTTTGTCAGCCTGGAAGCTCTTTATTGTGACTGGAGGAAAGTTTTGTAAAACAAAATAAATAAAAAAGAACTGAGGAGTATTTAAGAATCAATTATTCAGGTGCTACTGGAAGTTGCCTTTACCATCTCTACCCCAACTGTCAAAACACATGAGAACCCTGGATAAAAGGGAATTGTATTGTTTTTAAAGTAGAGTAGAGGAGGAGTTTGGCAGATTGAGGATACGCAGGTGAAACCATTTGAATAAAATAAATTAAATAATCAAAGGAAATTCATATCATTCATTTTAAGATCTATATTAGACACGATCCAAAGTTCATACATTCTTGCCATTGACTTCTAGAGACCTATCTTCATGGTGGCCGTTGTCTGACTGGGGGTATTCAGTGTACGTCAGCTCCCATTGGCTGGGACAACAAACCTCACCCTCTTCACTGACTGTGTATTTATTTCACACCCTTTCTCTCCCAGTGTAACACATGGGCACTGGCTTTAGTGCTGTTTTGTTCAGTCTTCAATCTGGTGTAGCTTTCACACCACAGCCCCAGTGTGCAGCTGTAGTCATCACAATTTCTTCTCTGACTCCTCTTTGACAGGGTGGACCGAGGGCCACAGCTATGTCATGATTTATTAAGAAGCTCTGTCAATGAGGGCAGCTTCCCTCAAATGATTCATTAAGAAAAGATAAATCACAACAACAACTGTAGTTCACCACTGACGGATCATAAAGTCGGGCTGCCATAATTAAAAATATAAAAGCCATGTAAATCTTGCAAAATGCATGAATTTACCAACTGGCAAAGTAATGTCGAATGCAAATATTCTTGTTGGGAATAATTAACTGCCTTAAAAGCATCCGATTCACGAAAAGGCTACCAATGTCACTGGTGAGGAGAAGACTGACAGAGGTGTCAGTCTGGTGAGTGTCACTCTAAAGTGGCCACCAGGCCAAGTCAAAGGTCTCCATGCCCTATTAACTGATTACATCGACCAGTTCTTCTCTTTGCCTTTTTTCTTCCTCGCTCCCAAAGGTCAGGATGTGAAACAAGTCGTCTTCCCAGGCTGTCAACACAGGATCGCCCGAGGCAGTCGAAGACCTACTGCAGACAGTTATCTTCTCACACATACGGTGCCTTCATGACCACATAGATATGTACAACTGGTGTGGTGAAACAATGACTCATCTTTGCCAGCTGCAGCCGTTGAGGGTGAACTTTCTACTAACAACACCATCAGAGGAGAGGAGAGCCCAGAGAAGATTTGTGGATGTCGTGAAAGAGAACATGGATGTTGTTATAAAAGCATGGCATGAGGTGGGGAGGGGGGGGGGGGGGGGGGCTACTACTATGTCTACTCGTTAATTCAATCGTCACAAAAATGTGTTCAAATACTGAAAAGAAAATATTCTTGTGCATTATTACAAAGTCAATACTTTCTTAGCATTGGTATAGAATTGGGCTTCCATCACTAAAAAACAACATATTTTTTACTTAAAAGTATTAGTAAAGGTAGCAATGGAAGCACATTTAAAGTGGCAGTGAGATATGTAGTTCATGTTTAGGAATGTGAACTCAAGGGACAAAGATTCCAAGTCAGAGGTTCATCCTCCAACAGCCTCCAGGCCAAACTCGGAGGGTTTAACTCTGGAGTACCGAGCTGAGATAAGATGAGGAAGAATAAAGCTTTGCATTTTCGTCTGTGAGTCTCACTCTTTTCTTTCTACTCGAGTTTGAACTCAAGTAACAATAACTTCCCCTTTCTGCGGGAAAAGGCAAAGAGAAAAAGGACAGTAGGATGGGGCTATATGTTTTTTAACACAGCACTTTGACATGGCCACTGTTATCGACAAGCCTTCGCAGATAAAGGATGACTCAGTCCCTCTGTGATTCATCAGTGACAGTGAAAAGAAAAACAAAACTGCGCGCCTCTTGATGTGACCTCCTCCATTTGAGACGGTGATAAGCGTTTCTGTTGATACGTTGTTATGTCTCTCAAGAGTCTGCGCCGTGGGTGGCTGCCCTCTGATCCAATGCTTTGCACTACATGTTGGCAGAAATGGGCACAAAACATGCTCTCATACCTCCCCACCACCTCAGGAAGCACCATAGCAACAACGAAGAAAAAAAAACTGGGTCCTCCTCACCATTCTTCACTGTGAAAATCACTGTGAAATCTCTGTACTTCTCTCGTGGTTGAAGATAACACAGAGAGCCATCAACTGGAATACGGGGCTCCTTCTTTTCCTAATGTTCTATGCATTTTCTTTTCTTTTGCCTTTGTTCTAGTCTAAATTAGGCATCCCATTCCATGGCTGTGGTTTGCAAATTTGAGGATTTGATAACAGAACTGCTGAGCTGCTTCCTTGACTATAAAGGAATACAAGATTGCCCTGAGTAGCATGTCCCCTAGTTCAGTCAATCTGTATCTAAAGATCTGATTCTGAAGTTATGCATTGGCAGACGTCTGTTCCAGGCCGCAGAACCACAGAGGTATTAATAAACTGTCACAGATTTCCTGAAATGCTCAAGCATTCGCTCGGCGTAAGGCACAGCAGCTCTCATCTGCTCTGGATATAAAGGGTTGGTTGTTTGAGGCTCAAATTAAATGGAAAACGACGTGGGTGTTTGTGCGAGATGACGTTCTCTTACGGGAATCCTGACATCACACAGACAGTGTGTTATGCTCATGAAGAGTTTCAAATGGCTGAAGTGTAAAGTCATTGGTGTGGTGTGGCTGGTCAGAGGACCACAGGACAGTGATGCAACAGAGATGACACATTAATGTCTAACACTGAGGGCCTCTCTTCTGTTTCATTCTGCTACTTGACAAAAATGAATCAATCTATTCCAGCTCATGTAAGTCAATCTATTCCAGAAGTCGTTCCACACATGAGTCCCTTTTTCCTTGTTTTGCACCTACTTCAAGTGCTCTGGTGCCCCGAGGGGAGGCACAAATGTGAAATGAACAGCAGTGTTTCACATTCCCACCACGTCAGGGTGGATGGAGTAAAGTTACACATTTGATCAGAGTATATAAGAATAAATTACTGCATTGTATAGCATATAGATGAGGATTATCCATTTACAGTGTAAAAAGACTAATCAGAATTTAAATACACTTTGACCTAAAGTTAAAAAGTTTCTTTTCAAATCATATCAAAGTTTAAATAATCCTTTAAGCCATTCATGTTCTGTAGTAAAAGGACCAATTATTTTGTAGAGCAAATCCAATTACATTGAGAAAGAATATCTTCAGGCAAGTGTAAAACTCTCAAAGTGTATATTTTATATATTTTTAATTTAACTTGTCATTTCACTTCATTTCAGTTATCTTTAATGTAACTGTAAATTCAGTTATGTTTACACTACAGCAGAGGGATAATGTACATTTTGTAAATCCTGGAAGAAAAGTTTACCAGGGTATTTTACAAGAGGAATACTTTAGGAAAAAAAATGTAAACACTATGAAAATAATTATTCAGTCAGAAATAGCTGAATCTCCATCAGATGTGTTAACTGTATGTAACTAACGTCGGGGCCTCATTTTCTCCCGCTGACTAAACGTAGTTGGTGTAGCAACTGATAATTAGACTGTCGATCTGCCTCTAATTAGACTGGTACAGTACAGAGCAGTCAAAGGTGTGTGTGCGCGTGTAGCATGGAAAGAGCAACACCAGGATAATTTATTATTCATCTCAGCGAAGGACAGGACCTGCTCGACAGCAGGCGAGGGAAATTTCCCACCACATGTGGGGATTTTTTTTTCCCCATCAGCCAGTCTTTTTCACTCACTTCCATGCCTCTTCCCCATTTACCTACACAACTGACACAGCTTTCAATTAAGACTGTGGCAGCTGGTGCACCAGGAACAGTGACTTTGATGCAAACACATTTATTCGTGGCTCTGCCAAGTCTCTGTTGGATTTGACATTTTTATGCCGCATTTCTGACTTGAATAATAATTCAATAGGATATCGTGATCTGACAGCAACAAGTCAAGAACACATGAGTGGGAAATAAATGACCTGCTGTTTTGTTTATGTCTACCTTTGTCTAACCACTGTGCAACTCCTGACTGGGTGTCAATAACAACCAGGTTCTTGTTTAGTATTATTTTCTTATGTGTAATCTGCTGTCTCTCCTGTGGTCTGACTAAGCTCCTGCATTAAAACTAAAACGCAGAGATGCATATTGATCAGAGTAGAGCTGTAGCACACTGCCGGTTTGTTATGTTGCTCCTGCTAATGCATACCTGGTTAGTGAGGGTAGATTTAAGTGAGTCTCACAGTGTGACTCGACTTCCTCCTCTCAAAATGTAACTGACTGGAAATACACACTGACAGAGACAGAAATTGAGATCCTCCCCTGTGTTGGCTCTGTAAAGGATTTTTCTCATTAGGCTTCTCAAAATCCTTCAAAGTCTCAGGCATCGACAGCCTGTTCAACATTTGAATCCAGCAGACCAGTGATAAGCCCCCACTATTCCCTCTCGCAGAGAACTAGAGAAGTGTGGGAATGTGAGGTGAGGAGAGGAAGCTGGAATAAAGGGAAGAAAAAAGCATGGGCTCTGAAATATGGAAATGTTTCTAAACAGAACTATTTATAGTGACGAAGAAGAGACGGTGTGTTTTTCTCATAACTAAAAATAGTCCGTGTTGCTGCTGCTTAACATTAACTCTGAATTATTTATTTTTTAAATTATGGCTTTAATTGATGTGTTATTAGTTAATTAAAATTAAAAGGATTTTAACACATGCCAGAATGATGGGCATTGTTGCTCTAACCTTTAGTGTAAAATCTCATTTCAAACATCTCAACTTCAGGTCGAGTGTTCGTCCTGTGTCATACCGACCTCACGGAGTGCAGGGTAGTAGAGCGTACATCTGAGAAGCTAACTGACAGCTGTCAACTGTAAGGTAAAGTAGACTGATTGATACTTTTGTGCAAGCAACTCTCCATGTGTGATTGACAAGCCACTGTCAAGATGCACAGTAATGACTGAAATCCACCAATTCTATGAAGCTAGGGTGAAATTAGCATAGAGACTAATTTCACCTCATTATTTGAGTATAATGAACTCAAATATTATCAGTATTTGTAATGTTAAGGGTTAAGTTTAAAACACATCCCACATCCTGAGGCTGCGTTCATCCACCTCTTCCATCTCAGCTCTGTGGCTGAGAGGCTCAACTTTCTATTTACTAAAAAACACTTATTGATGTACACGCTTTTGCAAATCAATCAGTTTTGAGATTTGCAATAAACGCAGCCTGCACCGTTGAACTACGGTCAATAGTAATGATTCTTTTCGAGTCTCAGTCACGTCAGCACTGATCTAAGCCGATACATTAACTAGTACAGGTCATATTGTTGACAAACACTGTCAGGTAGACCTTCAGACTTTAACCTGGAATTCTCAAGCCTATCAAGTTCACTCCAGCTTTAGTGAATGGCACTGACCTGGTGGAGATCATTCCCTAAGGTGAACTCTTGGAAGTAGCCGGGGGCTGCTGAGGTGGCTCGGATTGCCTGCCAGAGCTGGTGTTGGCAGCCCCCCAGGTAGTGAGAGCGGACCCCAGGGAGAAGGTTGTAGTTTCTAAACACATAGGCCCTCAATGCACCCCGGTTCACAATGGTGCTCACTGCTGCCACCTACAAGTAAAGCAGATTAACATTTATGCTGGCATTCACATCCAAATAAAATAAATAGAAAAAGCACCAATGACATGTAAGCTAGAACACAGGCAGATCAGTGTAATATTACTGCTGAGCCTCAGACAGTCTGCTCAGGTATGAAATCCTACACACGACCTTCCTCCTCCTCAAAGGGCTTTATGGTGTATTTTCATTTCATGTTTCTTGCAGAAAACTTCAAGACTGGGATTGAAAAGGAAGCCTCAAAGAAGAGTGTGATTTCTCCCAACGTAGTGAAGCAACAGCTTCCTGGTCAGCACTAGAGCAGATGGAAGAAGAAGTCAGACCATCTTTCTAACTCACCTTGGGGCATTCAGGGTTTCTGGAAGTCTCCACCAGCAGATTTGAACCCATTTTCTCTCTGTGCAAGTGAAAATTAGACACCATTAAATCCAGGTTTGGTGAATTTTAAATTATGCTTTGGCACTGGAATAAAAATGTATGTTCCATTTAAGTCAGTGGTGTTTTTCTAATTTAAATATTTATATCAATATTTTAACAGTTGTGTTTTATAACACAATCACAGGAGGAACTGACTTGAGAATGCCTTCCCAGGCTTCACTGTCGTAGAAAGCATGGCTCCAGCCCATCTTCACTGTGCCAACGATCACATTCTGCTTGAAAACATCGGAGCCTAACTTCCTGTATATATCTTTACAATCGCTCAGAGGGAGTTGGAACACACCCAGCATAAACCCAAGGATGGCACCTGAAAAGAAACAAATAAGGAGGATGAAAATGAATGATTAGCTCCGAACTCTTAAACAAGGAGAGAATCCTTGTTTAAGAGGACTTTATGTAGTAACAAAGCAGAGGAAACAGAGCGGAAATGACTTCAGTAACACTACAGGTCATTGTTCTGGTAAATGTACGGTGTTGATGTAATTCTGGCAAACCTGAGTATTTACGGTTAGCAGAAACATTATCCTTGGATGAGCCATAATGTGGCATAAGACTGACATGATTAGATCAGTGCAGACAAATAGACCTCAACTCTCTTGACCATTAAAGTCTCTTGACAACATTAACTGAACACAAAAGAACAGTAGGGACAGAACTGAGGACTGCCTGAGTAATGTCACTGATCACAACAGCCAGATGTGGCCCAGATGGTTTTAACACGTGTGATAATAACTTGATCTGAGAGAGTGATTACACGGCATTCTCTCAACACCCACTGAATCTTAGAGTGAAACGTCTCCAACTGCTGATGATTAAGTCTGAGAGGACTGCTGGGAAATGGGGACAAACAGAAGCTTCTGCTGATGATTACTGAGCAATGTGTTCTGAGGGTAAAACACAGACCGTCCATCTCTTGTGAAATGACAGCAGAGGAGCAGATATCTCAGTAGTCAACAGCACCACCATGTGGTCTTTTTTATACAAGAAAATGAATTAAAAGCAGCATTTCCCCGATAAATACAGATATTATACTTTTCTGTTGATCAATCCATCCTCTATATACCAATACCTATTTATGATGATTAAATAATTATTCAAGAGTAATGTAGAGAATATCAATAAAATAAATATTAATATGTATATACAATGTAGGTTTAATCTTCACCTGTAAGACAAAGTCAAGATAAAACCCTACATATAACAGTCTTAGTCTTAATACAGATAGTTAAACCAGTGGCCTTTTTACAACAATTGTAAAACCAGTGGAAAACCACCTTCTTGATATGAGTATTCGAAGGGTAGACATTTGAGTGTTTGAGTTTAAAAGAAAAAAAAACTCAGAATGTCAGGATAAACACAGAGAGTCAGTGTACAGGCCACACAAAAGGACATTGGGATTGAAGGATGAGAATAACATACCTGTGCTGACTCCACAAATATAATCGAAGAGTTTATAAATTGGTTTGCCAGTCAGATATTCCAGCTTCTGTAGAGCCTGAAGAGCCAAAAGTCCCCTAAAATAACAACAATTTCAAAATTTAAAAAATAAGTAGTGGAATGTAATGGAAGCTTTTCAAAATATCCTGTAATGTTTTTGGCTCAATGCTGTAAAGCTGCAATTCACAAAAAGGCTCTTTAGCAGTAAACAACACCTACTTCAATTTGACAAAAGAGGAAGCACGGTGCTGATTGTACCTTAAACCTCCTCCATCTATGGAGAGGATCCGTATGCCACGGCCTTTGACAGGTTCGTGGTAGCCCACCAGGGTAAGGGCTTCTCTGACGGCTGCCCTCAGACCCGGGTCACTGGCCTGCTTCAGACGCAGGAGGCAGGGAATGACCTTCTCCTGAAGAAAAAAAATAAATAAGAGAAACACACTGTCAATCTACCATGAGGAGTACTACCAACACTGCCAAAAACCTATAAGGGAAAATATGAAAGAAGAGCTGAGTCAGAATTAACATTTAATGTCTGCTGTGGGAAAGTTTCATTGGCTTATCAACACAAGATGTCAAGGTTAAAGTGTCATCAAAGCAACTGAAATTTAAGGAAATGTTAATGTATACTTTTCATATTGATTATTTTTCATATTGATTATTATATATATATATATATATATATATATATATATATATATATATATATATATATATGAATGAATTATATACTTTTGTCTGCTGTAGTTCTCATATTGAATTAGCAGAGTTTTTACACCCAATGCAAATTTCACACATTTATATAATTCTCCATATTAATTGCTAGGACTATGTTCATACAGAATGCTTGAGCAGTATCATGCAAAGCAAGGGTTGAATAATTCTGCAGGAGAAATCAAAGAGAAGCCTTAAATATCTCACCTTGACAGCAACACCACGAGTCTCTGGAAACTCCAGCAGATGGTAACTGAAGTCCTCCACTCTGTTGATGTAAACTCGAACATCCGATGCCCTACGTAGAGCCTGGACCAGAGCACGGGTACGGTTGTCCACACACACCCTGGCAATTATCTGAGGCAGAATATGCAGGCAGTCATATCTGACTGTCAGGATTCCAGAGGGACCTACTTTCAAAACACTGATAATGTGGAGCGCAATAAAAAATAAACTGTCTATCTCAGCACGTAGGAGAACATATGGTGGCCTTCGGTGATCATTAAGGCACGACTAGCTTAACCGAGTCTAATGTGATCCCACATGTAGGCAATAACATAAGGGTGTTATTAAGACAACATTTCATACTCTCAGGAGAGGGCACACATAAAAGAAGCGGTAATACTTACTCTCTGACAAAATAAATTGTATAAATATAAAATGATTTGATCAAAATCCTCAGAGTGAAACATAAAAACCATTACACTCAGCCATTATATAAAGGTATATAAATAAAAAATTTGATTTTAACTGTTGCACAAATAAAATAATATCACTATGTTTTGACAACAATAACTACCATAGGTTGAAGAACCTGCTAACACTGTTAATGCAAAACATAGTGGTGTTGACCATGAGGAAATTGTGTTATTACTTTTATAACATTAAACATCAAAAAGTTTTGTTAATCTATCTATTGATGTTTTTGTAAAGTAGCTTCAGATTTTGAGCCTTCAGCATTAGCTCAACGTGAGATGATTGTGTCGTTGTGACATAAAGGACTGACTCAGCCCACATGTGGTAGATTGTCTCTAGCCCCATATCATTGCAAGTGTGGCTATTTTTAAAAACAGATTCCCAGAATTCAGGATACACTTCAGTGGTATGCTGGACATATAGAGAAGATGGCAGTGGTAACCTGCCAACATCTGACTAAAATATACATCTGTCTGCACAAATATACAAGAGCAATCAATACTGGCACCAGCATCCATATAACACTAAATATACAGTTTTCTTATGTGTCAAACACAGATTTCTTAAGACAGACTAGATTAATAATGTGGCTCTGTTGCTCCTACCTTTTCTCTTTGCAGAAGAAGTTTCTTGGCCTTCTCCTCAGTTGTACTCTGCTCCTTACTAACTGTGGGCTCAGCCTGTGTCACTTGTGTATCCACAGGTTTCTCTTTAACTGAAGCAGTCTTGGACTCTCCTGTCCTGAACTTGGGGACAAGAGGAACGATATAGTTCCCAACAAAGGCTTGCACATTTGGAGCGGAGTAAGACAGGTAATGTCCAAAACCCTTCTTAGAAGAATGGGGTTCAATTTTAGCTGTGGTTGTGTCTCTCATATCAGACTTGAGCATTGGGTCACTTGTTCGCGGACTCTGACTGAGAACAGGGGAGTCAATATTGTCCACTTTCTTGTCCTGAGTTGTTGCAAGGCTGCCAAAGTAAGAGTTGATATGGTTGGCCAGGTAGTTGTAGGTCTCATCCAGACTGACCGCAAAGGAGCTGGGATGGAAAAGTGCTGTGGTTGATTTGGAAGATGTGCTCTTGTTTTCGGTGCTCCTAAGTTCTTCTTCTTTAATGGAGTAGCTTGTGTTGACTGGAAGAATATTGTGTTTAGGTTCATTCTCTTTAAATTTGCCCCTACTTAGAACAGTATTAACGGATGTAGTGGCAGAAATAGAATGATGTTCAGGTGGTTTAGGTTTGGGTGGAGTGGATGTAGAGGAGGGAGGATCAGAGGAAGCAGGAGTTGTTGAGACATTGCTTTCTTTTTCTTGTGGTAATGATTCAACATGGATCTCAGCTTTATCCAAAGCAGATAAAGAATTAGGTTTCAGCCTGGTAATTTTTGACAGAAATTCTGTACTTGTCCCACTCACAGCTTTTGAAACTGTGTTCAGTGTGTTCTTGACCCGTGACATTTGTTGACTCAGACTAGCAGACCAACGTGACGTGGATGTGTTTGAATACAAAGTGCTAGTGTGAAGTCCAAGATTCGGTTTAAGTGGGGAGACTTTAAATCTCCATCCTTTGCGGCTTCTGTTACTCAGGTGGTGAACATGTTTCCAGGTGAGGCAGCGTACTTTGGAACAAACACGCTGTCGTACATGAAGCCTGGAGTAAGAAGTGGTAGACAAAGGAAGTGATAGTAGTAACTTCTGACCCCTTGTTTGCCAGATAAGAAACACACGGCTTACTTTCAAACAGGTATTAGGAGTCCACCTATTATTCATCGCGTCAGTTTATACAAGTTTATGCTCCACAGAAAACATGAGCTACACAATCCTTTTTTGAAAACCCTGGTAATGAAAGAAAAAATGAAATGGAGGTGAAACGACAAGAAAAATAAAATTTTAAAGTGACAATGAATTCAAGCATGAGGTGCTATGCTAACCTTTTTATAAGGTTTAATAATTGTTTTTTGTTGCACTTTTTAATTTTAAACAGGAAGAATGCGCAACAAATAAATCTTAGAGGAACATACTTAATAGATTTCAGCAATAACAGCAAAAATTTAGCTTCGAAAACATAATTTAGCAGCTAGCTGTCTTACTAGAAATTACGTTTGTGACAATTAATATCATGAACTATACCTGTCTCTTTTAAGCAGTCGAAAGTCCGTTGATTTCTTCAACGAGCCGCCGGTGTTGCTTAAAGTTAACAAAACGTGTAAAGATTCTTAGAAGTAAACACTGTTATTTGACCTAGCACTAGAATACAAGACAATGTGATGACGTAATTCCAGAAGGGAAACATTGGTCACGTGATATCCTAGTTGAATTCCAACTGGCTGTTTATAGTCATGCCCCTTTGGTAGCGCCCCCTGATTGGATAAGATGTTCATTCAATATTGTCCATAATAGAGGAGCAACTTTAGGTTGGAGATGCTGTATATGACGAGGTAGCTACCTGCGCCACTACAGTCACACAGCCGCCCCGATTTTCTAAATGCGCAGTTGTTTTAGATCTACGGTAACAACGAAACGATTCGAAAAAAATGAATATGTAACCCGTAGTAGGTGCATATAGGCCGTAAAGTGAACCACGAAAAGTCTTTCAGAAATTGAATTCCACTCCGACGTCTGCGAACTACACAATCTTTAGTTCATAAAAAGAAGGAGTTATGTTAAGCTTACAGCAAAAAGTTCGTGGTAAAAAAATCCAGCCCATTTTTTAGAAACAGGCATTTTATACTGAACTGGCGTCTTTGGGGCGCAATAAAAGATTTTGGTGTGCAATAGGTGGCACGGTCGACACGTGACAGGACTACACCAATAGGCTAGCACCTTTTAGTAAACAGAAAATCAAGATGGCTGCCTGTGGAGTTTCATCAAGCGGTATCTTCAAAATATAACATTGCTACATGCATATAGCCTCTGTGAAGCACGAAAAATTCAGGATTTCACACTCGGCCCCGTCCTTCCAGCAATGTGCATAATATGCAAGAAAAAGGACAAATACATCGTAATGCAGACCCTATATGAGTGGGCAAAAACCTCAGCTCGTATCAGGCCCTGACACTAATGTGGCAGTCATTGCTGTAAGTCTGCAGACAGATTTACCGATGAAATAATATGTATTATATTATTATTATCATACCATGCAGCTTATATTTTTTTCACAGGCACAGCAACAGGACATTACCATTGTGTCATTAGCTCTCGGAACCAGTGTGTGTTCAGCCTTGATTGTCATACATACATTCTCTGGGTGTGACTCCACACGTGCCTTTTGCCTGATGTGACTCGAGTTCACAGAAATGTTTGTGTAAATAAATACTTTAATTTCCTAATTACTACATGAAATGTACTGGTGATTTTTTTGTTCACATTAATTAATTTTCTTCATTTTTCTTACCCTAATAACAGGCAAGAAAGATGCCATTAAACTAAATGAATGCCACAAGAATTTCTGCAAGTGCAGGGAATAAGAAATAACAATATTACATAACACTGAATATAAAATAATACAGTTGAATTGTCCTTCTCCAACTGGTGGTTGTACAGAAAACTGCTGATCCATATGAATTTTAATTCATCTTGAATTATCCTGATACATTGTTATCGATTACCATCATAGTAAATCTTGATTAACTGAGATTAATCCACAGCTACCATGTGATTAATCGGAGTCCTTTGGGTAAGCCAAATGCCCACAAAGCTTCAGTTGTAAACATTCAATTTGATAATCAAAGTATTTGTGTTAGGGTAAATGGAAATTTTGCTACAAAAAAGCTGCACAGTGCAAACAGTGTTCACATAGATATTAAACTTCAACAGGAACCACATCTACTCCCAACCCTGTGGGAAAGGAAACTAGAAAAAGGGGAGGGGGGGGGGGGGGGGGGGGCAGTGAGTTGGAAAGTTCAAAAACCGAGGTTCCACTCTATGATGTCATATCCTACAACTGTACATTTGAACATCAGTCAATCACCAGACTTCACTGTGAGGTTAAAAAAAAAAATCAAAAATATTTCCCAAGAAGGAGGCAACGGAGACAGGACAGCCTGGGATTGGCTTTTGCGGAAATAACAAATGAATAAATGTTTTACTGTCTTCTTTGCTAAACTTTGTACATGAAGAAAATACAAAATACAAGCTTTAACAGAAGCAAATAGAGAGTTAGAAACGTTCTTCACGTTTTAATAAGATAAGTATAAGTAATCAACACAGAGAGAACCAAGAACATTTAAAAACAACTATAATGGCAGGTTTAGAACAGGGTTTCAAACAGAGACGAGCTCGGAGAAATCTCCCCAAACTCAGGGCATAAGTCAATCCCTCTAATACAGGTGTAATGATATTGAACAAGGCTGTGAGAAAAACTAAAAATAATACAACTAAAGAATTCCTATTAAATCTCCTTTCAAAACACATAATGATTTAATGAGTCTGAAGAGCTTAACCCAAACCAGTTTTCTGTCATTAGTACCCCTTTGTTAATTATACCAATCACTAAATCATTTCTTAACTGGATACTACTATGTATTAGTATTTTTGTAATCTCCTCCTGTGCAAATTTGTTTTTGTTTTGTGATATTTCTATAGTCTGTAGTTCATCTGCTATATTTTATATGCTATATATTTATATTTACTCACATTCATGACCTGTGCTCTGTGTTTGTGCGCTGCCAATATGCAATGCAGAGGACACTGCTCCCACCACGCACACTTGTGTCCAACATCCGACACTTCCTCAGAGGCCCCCATCCTTCTCTTCCTCCTCACCTTCTCTGTGCAGCAAGGTCCAACTGAAACAGAGAACACAAAACATGTCACACATGTTACACCACAATCTCAATATTAGGAAACATCTCAACTTGCGAACAGAACTATTGGTCTCCCTGATGTCACTGAGTGATAATTTTTGTCTTATGAATCAAAGCGTAAGAAGAGAATTAAAAAAACGGAGACTGTAAAACTCTAGACTTCTAGTAAAATATAATTACAAGATTTAAAACGATGAAGGCTCTTACTTCTGCGGGTCTTCTTTGAAACACACCGTCCGTTCCCACGAGGAGGCTGGACAGACCAGTCCTGAATCGGTCTGTAGCCACCTGGAGAGCCCTGTGCATGTCACAGCAGTGATGGAAGGAGCTCTGAAGAGATGAAAAGGTGTGACTGGTCACTTCCTCAAAGGTCAGCATGCAACCTGAACAGAGAAGGACAGTCATTTTGTAACTATAGCTTATGCAGGGTACATTGTAATATTTTATACTGCAATTCATATACATAAGAGGTGACTGAACTAATCAGTTCTCAAGCAAAATCAACAGCTGAGACGTTTGGTCCATTCTTAGTTAGTTAATGTTAGTTAACATTTATATAAAAGAATACTCAGATATTATTGCAGCATCTTGAGACTAATCATCACTAATGCTGCACTATTCTGTGATTAATCCAGTACCTGTGCACCGTGAATGAAGCGATATGTCTTCTTCTCTGAATGTCCTCGTATGACCCTTTTTCTTGTCCTGTGACTCTAAATTATTGACCATATTGTTAGAGGATAGAAGGGAGTGCATAGTCAACATATCGTGCATGGGAGGCAAAAGAAAAAGGCACTAACACTACAGATGTAATTAAAACATACAATCACATATAAAAGACGCCAAACGTCTGGCACAGTCATTAAAAATTAAGATGAAGGCATGACGATATCTCTACCTTTGTCAGCATGTTTAATTTTCTTGGATAACTTCTGCCTCCTTGATTCTGGAACCGTTAATTTCTGACTAAAGAAGAAGTAATACATCTAAAAAAGATACTGACCACTGAACCTGGTAAAGAAACATACGTAGATGTAAACGCTACTAACCCGTTTGCAATATCTGGCTCTCTGCCTCCATCTAGTGACTTTACATGAGAAGACATTAGTGCCGTGGTATTCGAGAGAACGGACGACTCCCCATTGCTCTTGCTTGCTTTTGCATTGTCCTTACAGTTACCTGACCTGGAGCTCGCCTTTTTCCGGTACCCATCTTTCTCCTTCATTGCTACATTTTTTACACACGGAGGATGAGTATTGTTGTCTTCCTCCTTATGCCTGCTCGGTTGTGTGTGTGCTGAAAGGACGGTTTGGGTCCTTTTCATAGGCTGCAAATGTAAGGCTGAGACTGAGGATGGAACAGGTAGAACTTTCTTCTCAGGTGTAGCTGGTGGGTCTTGCTGCTCAGCCTCCTGGAGTTAAACATCAATAGATAGTGACAATCCAGATGTTTCATTAAGTGAGATGTGAGCACACATCAATGTCTCACCTTGGCTTGTTTCCGCTCCAGTTGGTTAATTCTGTAAAGAACGTCCACGGCTGAGCTTTTCATGCTTTCCATGCTGATAAGCGGTTCTGCTTTTATATCCTCCGTAATCCCTGATGTCAGAGTGGGCTCTGCCAATAACATGGCTTCAAAGGGAAACAAAAACATCAGCAACTAGGGAAATTGTAAAATGAGCTGCCAAGAATGAATCCCTCTCAATTCAACGTAGAAGTAAATGGTCATGGGAAGGTTGAGGAAAAAGGATCAAATATTACACCTTAGAGCTTTAAAATCACAACCATTCATTGCATGCTTACTATTAATAAAAAACTTCTATCTCACTGAATCTGGTCCAGGACCTTAATACTGCCAAAATATAATCAAAGTATTCTAAATTCCAAAGTAAATTCCAAAAAAAAAAATTCTCCAATCTTAAATTATAATTAAGATCATGGGATAGTTACTTTATATGGTGCACACAAATGAGGAAATCTGACTTACTGGCCTGTTTGCAGTTCTGCAATATGAATGTTGTTGCTTTCCTGACCTCCTCACTGTGGTCCTCTGTGAGCAGATTTATGATGAGGCCCAAACCTCCACATTTCACCAGCTGGAACTGGTGCTCCTCTGCAGAAAGGAAGATGCATAATAGTGATAGGAGTAACGATTCCGTAGTATTGGTATATTAATATTCACAGAAGTATCAATTGACTATTGATTTCTCATAAAGTATCACAACTAATTTATAAATTAAAAGGGTAACTTGATACACAAGGTATTTATGAAGTTATTTTAATGACTAATTTATAAAATGAAAAATGAAAAGTTGTTATATGTTCAGTATCGGTCATGTGTTTCATTGGGTGTAAAAAAAAAATCACACACAAGTATTGGTATTGGGAGCAGCTTTGTAAGGAAGAGGTGAAAGAAAATATACAGTACATCAAATAAAGGTCTTACCAGAGGACTCAGTGCAGTAACTAAGGGTAAGTAAAACCGAGAGTGTGTCCTCAGGGTTCAAGTTTGGGCTGGCCAGCAGGAGGAGGAGTTTGGACACAATGTCATATTGAGCCAGATCTGAAGCCAAAGCAGCTGAGGAGAGCAGGTAGTTAGGAGAAACGATTTGGTTGTAGACCCAAACTGCATCTGTGTGTATGTGCTTGTGTGAGATAGGTACAGTTTTCACTGATGCAAGCCGACAAGGTCTTTGATATAGTGGCAGACAGCTGGCAGGGCACCAAGCTCGTTTGTGCATCAGGAACAAGTTGAAGCAATAAAAGTGTGATCGTTTCCAAACACCCTGAGGTACGAAAACTCTCCTGAACTGATGCTGCAGAAACAAATTTGTAGATAATCAAAGAGAACAAATAATTTGAGTATGTGTAAAAATAAGACATTTTAAATCACAGTACTAAACATCTTATTTTAGTTATTTCAAACGTTAGACTTACTGTTGTTGGCCACAGTCATTGCTATGAATGAACAAATTGTCTTGAATATTTCTAGGTGTGTCAAAGCCTCCTTAAGCCAGATTTTCAGAATTGGAAAAGTGGCTACACAAATAAGCTGAGCGTCTTCTGAAATATAGACAGAAAAATGGGAAACACGGTGTTCATGTTATTAGTGGTGATGCTTCACAAGGGATGATTATATACTCACGTCAGGTATTACCATTTTGAGGATTGTTAACACATCCGCAAAGACCATTAGACACCGATGCCCACAATGGATGGGTGTGTGCATCATAATCTACAACTGCAGAAGTGTCCACAGGAAGAGGAAAGGTTGTCCTGCAAGAACATTTACTATTCGCTTATTTTATGCATACATCTTAAACCTATGAGTATATCTGCACTGATGAACCTTTTTATGATTCAAATGTACCTGAAGAGTTCCAGTAGACCATTCATGCAGCCACTGGTTAGGGCTAAAGATTGGCCTGATTCTGTGATTTTGCACCAGTAAAAAGAGTTTAACAAACAACATGCACTCTGAATTCTTATATCAGATTGATGAATTTTGTAGTTTCCCCCTTTACATTTCCATATTCAAAGAACTACAAAAAAAAGAAAATTAGAAGGCAAATGCATTAATCCATTAAGAATCTGAACCTGAATTTAAAAATCCCTTACTGTTGTTGGCTACCAACACAGACAACAAATACACGGCCACTCTCCTCTGTGTCAGTGAAATGTCTTTTTTTGTCAGCCATCCAGCCAGGTCTGCAAAAGTCTCTTTTTTGCAGAGGGAAGTTTTACAAAACACTATTGAAATTGGAAAAAAAAAACACATCACCAATAGAGAAAGTTACAGATACAACATTACAACACAACAGCACAGTCCAAATATTAGCTACACATGCCTTTTGTTACAATACAAGTTTGTTACAAAACAAATGTGCATGTTTTCCCTTCTCTTCAGATATGTAATGTTGAATTTTTCATTAGTTTTGCGTAAACAGATATACCGCTAATACTATAAATCCTGCCAGTATATAAGCTAAATACTGGTGGGACAACTATGGTACACATTATATAAGATCTTGCAAGCCAAATATAATCTTGCAAGCCAAATATAATTACACTGATGTGTGCAAATGCTCACCGTTGGCTTCTGCTAAAGTCCCAAGTGTAAAGAGTGCTGTTTCCTTGACATCTGCATGAACAACACTGGATTTAAAAAGGTTGTACACAAATGCCACCCCTCCGATTTCTCTTAACAGGTCCACATTATCCTCTGAAATATTTAAAAAACAGACCAAATAAAAACATTACACAACCATGTGTTTATGATGATATAACCAGTCTTTTCCAACAGTGAATCTCGTGTGTGGTAACAAGAATTACCTCTGTTTTCGCAGATTGATTGAATGGTAAGAAGAGCTTGTTTTTGTAACTCTGGGCATTTCATTTGAAACTTGAGACACTCCAGAAGCATACTGAGATCTGTCCTAGTTGCTGACAGCAAATAAATGTAGCCTTGATTGTTAACCAGTCACATCAAGCGGTTTGTTTTTTATATACCATGATATAAGATCACATTTAAACCATTTATTGACATTTTGCATGTACAACTGCATTTTCCTAAAAAATATATAGAATGAAACTGTAATGTATTTGTATGTATTGTAATATTAAAATAGCTTTAACAAGTCATTTTAGAGAAAACATTTTACTGTCTTGAATTAAATTATGAATGTATAAAATACAGTGCTTAAAACAAAATTTAGATGTAGCTGCAAATCGTATTATCCACAATAAATGTAAATCAAACCACTGTAACACCTAGGAAAAATGAAAACATGTTAAAAAAAGCCCGACTTATACATTAACTAAAAGAGAACACTTACTATTTGGCCTCTTGTCGTAGGCTTCGTTTTTATCCATCACGCCCTATATACAACTAAACTTAGTTTATAATAAAATTGAATTCAATTAATCACTTGACGATTCAGCTGCTATGTGGTGCTGACGAATTAGCTTCTGAGCTAATACCGTCTGTAAAAATAAGGGCGACTTAACCGGAATGTGTTAATGACAAAATGTCGTTTGTATACGATTTGTAAATACACATTACAAGCACAAAGGAATTAAATTACGTGTGGTCAACAAGGGAGCAATTTTTCCGGTGTAAATCTAAACAATTGTGAAGTTACCTTAAAAGTAAAAATCGCTATCATATAAAAAAAACATTTTTTCACGTAGTATTTTGTCAACTCTGTGCGCGTTCACAACAAATGAGAGGTTAGTGCGTCATTTGACGGTGCTATTAATTTTTATAACAAATATATGCGTCAGTGGCAGCCTCGCTCCGCCTTAAATGGACAATAATTGAAATAGATTAATTTATTGTGATGTTAGCAGAAGAGCTACAAGTTCGTTTCTCAGCCCCCAAAAAAGAGTTAATATTCTGCCTTTGCTTGTATTTTCATGTTCAACTGTCGCCTATAAAATAACAGGCTAAAGGTACGTTTTATTTATTTAATTTCTGTCGTTTTATGTCATTTAGTGTTACTTTAGATGGTGAGGCACACAACAATATGAAGAAAGTAACGACGTGGTGCATCCTCTCGTAATGTCACAGTGGACAGACATTCGTCATTATAGCCATTGAAAAAAATCCACACATTATGGCATCGTGTTCGGTCATGATATTGTTTTGTTGTTTTAATCATACTTTTAAAAAAAAAATCGCAGTTTTATGAAACGCAACATTAAGAACAAACACTTCGCTTTACACTGACGTCACGTTTACGTCTAAATACTTCCGGGTTTTCTGGACACATGCTTCGAATCGTTGCCCTAGCAGTAACCACTACCTCTTATTGGCAGTTTTATTTTGTACATTGCCTTTTGTGTTTTGTTTAAAGGTTAACAGTAAGGGTGTTCAATAAAAGAAAGAAAGAAGGACAAACTACGAAAGCGTCGGAAGCTTGCGCAGGTCACCGTCACGCACTGATCTGGTGCTCATGCGCGTTGCTTTTTCTCACCGATTTTAGTGTCCGTTAGACAGCGGAATGATTCGTAGGTTATAAATGGGTAAGACAATTATTAATACTGTTGATTCGTGTGTTTTTATTTTCTCACATTATCTGAGTATACTTTAAAGAGAACCTGTTTTATTAATCCCCCATTTATCTAATTTTAACAGAACTTGAAAGCGTCACTTACGAAGCTATTATATGCATATACCAGTGAGTTAAGCAACATTTTCTATTAATTGACAAAATTCGTGTAAAAGATTTAGCACAGAGTGGTGAGCCACATCCCTCTAGACTGATGAAAATGTTTTGTTTTTTTGGGCCACATACTGCCTGATTAGATGTCAAGTGGGTCAGTACAATAACATAATTACTTATAAATCATAATAAGTCAATGTTTTTCCCCTTTCATGCAGAGAAGTAGAATTTTATATTAGAAAAAATGTATATTTAATGGAATGTTTGACAAAACATCACTAACATGCTTGTGCATTTCTTTTACTTTCAACAGTTTCAACAATCTTTGACACCCATGCTGTAGCAGTTAAAAGTGCTATGATTTTAGTGCCAAATGAGAAAACTTCCTTAATTCCTGTAGTCAAAAGTCTGAAGTTATAAGAGTGATGCAAACTTTGTGTTTATTGTTTTAAAAAATATATAAAATGTTTAATATGTTATGTTTTTGGTTAGAAATGTTTTTTTAAATAACTTCTATAGTTTAATAATTGTGTCTTTCTATTAACAAAGACATTGATTGAGTGGGCAACGAAGGTGCGACGAAGGTACACTTCTGATTGTGTTGCATTGAAGATGACTTTGCATGTCTACACCAGCATTCTTCAAAAAGCAGCATGCTACACCGTCACATTGCCCTTTACTAGCCATTTTCAGGTCTGTACACTAATTGTCATTTTCAATACATTATTTAGATTTTACCACAAAGTACTTATGTCTCAACTATTTTTCATATAGCACATCCGTCTTGTAGCATCTCACTGCTATCCACCTTGGCCAGCGTACCAGAGTCTCCCAAGATCCCTCGGAACCTTAAGTTCAGATATCCTTCACTTCCGTGGTCAAGTGTCAAGACACCGCACACAAGGACAACATTTCTCAACGTATCAAGATCTTGACCTTCACCTAAACCGGGTCCAAATTAGTAATATTCTGCGACGTAATGAGCAGGTAAAGAACCTCTAATCAGAGTAAAGCCCGGTAAGAAAAAACATTTTCATTTAAGAGCCAGTGTTGGTTCTTTCTGTCACTTGAATTAGTCATTGTTCAGTTGCACAGTTTCAGTAGATTGTTTTTCTATTCAACTGCATATGTCTGCCTGGCAAAGTCATCATTTCTGAATGTTATTTCATGTTTAGTTATCTATGTTTCAGGTTGTGAGTATTCCAGAGTTTGACAGCAGAGGGCACAGTACTGTGAAGAAGTTTGAGAGCAACCAGCTGGCTGCTAACGCACCTAATGAAGACCGGTACAGTGCAGCAACCTGCCTTCACGTATGTACCCTAACCTCTCTCTGTGTCCACCTTTGTGGATTTACTCTAGGTGTGTTCTAAGTCTGCATTTCCTTCTAACATCTCCAGTCTAAGGGCATGCTCTTTGGGGTTTTTGATGGCCACGGGGGATCTGCGTGCGCCCAAGCTGTCAACGAGCGACTCTTATATTACGTAGCTGTTGCCCTGATGCCAAAGAAGAGCTTGGAGGGGCTTGAAAAGTGTATCGCTCAGGGCAGACCTGTTCCCTCTATCTTACAGTGGCACAATCAGCACACAGACTTCAATGATCCAGGTTCTCCTTCATTTTACATGGAGCACCTTAGAGATTTTTGGCAAGAATTATTGGACAGTGAAGAACACAGTAACGGTATGAGGTTAGTAAGCTAGTAAGTTTGTTTTTGTTCAAATTTTTAAACTAAATCAGTTGTTGTCAATTAATTATTAATTCCTTAATGATTTACAACACCAGTAAATAGACAGATGCAATAACTTAACTACACTTTTACACATATATAATTATGATTTCTTTTACCACCATCTCATTCTCATCCTTCCTTTAGCCCTCATGATGCTCTAGAATGTGCTTTCAAACGCTTGGATAGTGACATCTCCTTAGAGGCTCAAGTCCCACTTTCGGATGACCTGATGAAAAGCACAGCTATTCAGGTGGTAATGATGCAAGACTTCTGTTACATCTGTTCGTGATTAGTTAACAGTGAATTGTTTAAATAGATGTAAAATGATGATGTGAAAAACATGAACAAAGGCCTCATTTTCTGGGAAGAATAGTGGAAGACAGTAGTGGGATGTGAAGTCAGAGAGGCAGATGGGTTCAGGGTATAGGTGTGATTATCAGCAAGTCATGATCAGAACGTTATGTGAAGTATTACCTAGGGTGTTTCACAAAACAAAACTTTTTATGTATTTGTAATAATAAAGGAATATATTTATCATTTCATACCCAGGTAGCATTTGCTGGTTGCACAGCCTGTGTGGTTTATGTTGGTGCAGATGCAATTCACGTGGCAAATGCTGGTGACTGTCGTGCAGTATTGGGAGTCCGGGAGATGGACGGTTCATGGAGTGCCTTAGAACTTTCCCTGGACCATAACTCCAACAACCAGGCTGAGGTTGAAAAAATCAAAGCTCAGCATCCACCGTCCGAGAAAGACACTGTGATCGTAGATGACAGACTGTTGGGGGTGAGAGCTTCTTTTATTTTAGAGACTGCACATGAAGTGTCTTCAAATTTGTTACTGTTTTAAAATGGCTGACATGGACAAAATGTTACAAATATGTGTGTCAATGTGTCACACTCTCAACTATGACTGTGATGTGAAACTTTAACCAACAATTTTATACTTTTCTGTAGTATTTGACTGTGATATATTTTATAGTAATGCCAGTTCATGCTGAACTAGTTGGACTTGAAGATGCATCACTTGATAAAAGACAAAGACAAAATTAGTTTAGTTCTATTGTTTATATATATATATATATATACATATATATATATATATATATAAACATGTTAATAGAAGCTCCTAACTTACCTGTCTTTGATTTTACCTCACGTTCAGGTTCTGATGCCCCTGCGTGCATTTGGTGACATGAAATTCAAGTGGAGCTGTCAGTTACAGCAGAGTGTCTTATCTAGCCTTAAATCTGGTGTGGACCAGAACTCTCTCCACATGTACCAGTACGATTTACCCAACTACTTAACCCCGCCCTATTTGGATGCTACTCCTGAGATAATGTCTCACAAACTCCGCCCCCAGGACTGCTTCTTAATCCTAGGCACTGATGGGTTGTGGGATGAACTGCGCAGTAAGGAAGCCGTGCGACTGGTTGGTGAACATCTGAGTGGGATTCACCCACAGGTCTGTTTGTGAAGATTATAGGTAATTTTTCATCCCACAGCTTTCATTTGACCACTTATCCTTTTACTGATTTTGTTTTTCCAGGCTCCCGTTTCTCTATCTGAGAAGCAGATGAAATTAGGTAAATTGCACAAACTTCTGATGAAACGGCGCGCCCGTACTTCTCCTGCCGTGGATGTCAACGCTGCCACACACCTCATCAGACACGCTCTCGGCACAGGAGAGTATGGAGAGCTGTGTGAGGAACGACTGGCGTGTATGCTGGCTCTGCCAGAGGACTTTGCTCGAATGTACAGGGACGACATCACTGCTACAGTGGTGTATCTTAACCCTGGCATTGTCAGACCTCCACAAAGCTAACGGCACGTCATGTTTGAAACAACAATGCTGCTCAATGCTGTAAAATCAACCATTTGCATTTGCCAAATAATGGTTTTAAAAAATTATAATCTGGTTTAAATTTTAGTTTTTTTTATTAATTTATATTTAATTTTTTTAACATTTGTTTATACAGTATGAAGCACTTTATATACGTACGTCCTGTATCTGCTCACGCATAATGTTAGCATAAAAAACATGTCTTCGTGTTGATATGAGCTTCTTATTGGAGACCAAATCCTAAATACACATTATTGCAAAATTAAAGGTTAAAGTTTTTTTTTCTAAAATGGTTTGTAAACATTTGTTTTGTTGAAATACAAATATGGTCCAGATATCTGCCAAGAAAAATAAAATTTAGTATTTTGTTTATCTTTTTTTGTTTTATCTAATTATTTTCACTGGTTTTGTGTATGAACTTTTAAAATACAGTTGAAAAGGTTTGAATAAGCAGTTATCTAGGGTCCAGGAACGGATTCATTTGTTTTACATTGATTCCTATGGAGAAAATTCTTCCACATTCATCAATCACATTCTCATTTGCAAAATTTATTAATGATTTCAAAAGTTATTCTACCAGTGCCCTCAAGCAACTGTCAGTATAAAAATTCCAATAACATACATTTTCAGTGGTACAGAAGTAGCAGATACTGTTGCCCAAGCCTAGTATGCCCTCTAGTGGCTGTCAGTGTGAAAATAACAAATGTGAAATTATTTACTTTTAGTATAAATAAGTCGCACCTGAGTATAAGTTGCAAACTTAGCCAAGGGATGAAAAAAAGTGCACCTTATATAGTCCTGAAAATACGATAGAGTAAATAATTTAACCTCAGAGACCAGCATGACGATCAGAACAGTAAAACGTTAAAGTAGGCCAACATGTCACATTAATATATAACAATATACAGTATAACATTTTTAATATTGATCAAAATAATGTTAATTACCAAAAACAGAACTAAGAACCTTTGTTGTTCACCAATGTGGAGGAAAGAGGAGCTGCACGGCACAATGTTGTTAAAAGTGCAGTCGTCTGTGTCTTAAAGTTTCTTTGCAGGGTGAACTTTAACCCGACACTATCAACAGACTTCAGTGAGCTTTGTACTTCCTCTGATAGAACGCCATACAACGAGAACAGAGGGCAGCGTTTACAAATGTAAATAAATACATAACAACTTGTCAGTTTTCAGTGACATTTGATCGCAACATTCAGGAAAGGTAAGTGTAAAAAATGAGAACCATCTACTTTTATGTCAAGGTCTAATGTTTTTCAGTGAAGCAAATAAACACGTTTTTCTCCCCTGGTCACCAGATGAGACAGAATATGTTTCAGGAGGGGCTGTACCAGGTGTTTTTTAAAGATCCACCTCAAACGCCCCGGCGGGATCAGGTCACCAGTCACGAGGAGTTACACAGTGCACGGCTACAACGATGGTTTGGGACCGTGGTGAACACCAGGCTGCTGGTGACTGGGGTGAGATGTTCACAGCTTGATATTTTTATCCTCACCATCTTTTTAAACTTCAGACTGCCTCCCTGATGCCCCATGTTCCCCCTCCCTAGGTGGTTCAAGTTCTCAGTGCGTTGGTGTGCATACTAACCACAGTCATCCATGTGTGTGTGAGCTACAGCTGCTCTGTCACATTACCAGTGTGGTCAAGCCTTTTTGTGAGTCCAATTAATCAAAAATAATTACCATATTGTCCAGACTATAAGTAGCACTTTTTTTCATCCTTTGGGTTTTATCCTTTTATCCTAAAATATCTCGATTTCACGTTTGATGTTTTCACACTCACAGTTGCAAAAGGGCACTCTAGGCGTGTGCACCAGTATCTGCTACTCCTGTACCACTGAAAATTTACACATTTGTTATTTTCACACTGACAGCGACTTATAGTCTGGAAAATACTGTATCGTTTTACCATGTCAGTCACCTTAGCACCTGTACACATGTAAACCCCTCTTATTGTGTGTCGATCTTTGCAGTATGTGGCTGCTGGAAGTCTAACGGTGGAGGTCCAGCGAAAACCGCATAAATTTAAAGTAAATGGTTTAATTATTTAACATCATGCTGATCATTTAACATCATACTACTGCTCATGGGGTCCCTTGATTTTGATCTTTCTAAAAAATTAGATCATCATCCTGGTGCTTCTCAATGTGTTTTGTCTGCTCTTTGGATTCTCTGTCCTTTTGGCTGATAATCTTAGGCCAAAACAACCTGATGTGGTCCAACACCAACCAACAAGCATCAACCACCAGGTGAGTCTGCAAGCCTTTTTACATTCTCGTGACCATTTTTAAAGGTCCAGTTTGTAATAATTTAGATTTTTGGTGAATGTTTAAAAAAAGAAAAAGAAAAAAAGTCAAACAGATAAATGAGGAGATAAAAAGTATGCCTTAACTCATTAGGTGAACGTAGTCTTCGGCCTGGTGGTGTGCAACCTTCACTAAGTGACTTCAATGAATCTGAAGGAAACTTAGACAATTCCTTAAGCAGACATAGATGATTCTCGAGGAAATTTTGATTATTCTGAAGGGAATTTAGATGATTCTGAAGGAAACTTGTAGGATTTTGAAGCAGCCATGGCATGTTCTGGGGCAGGCTTAGTAAATTGTCCATTATGTGTCTTGGGTTCTGCAGCAGGTGTTGAAAATTCTGCTGCACCTAAAAGCAGTTTCATTAGGAATACATACTCTTTGAAATATCTTTACTTCCATCTCTTTGAAATATGCCAATAAAAAAAAACAGATATGCTGGATTGCTTTAAAATGACAGGTACAACCATAGTCATCATTAGGTTTCCCAGTTCTAATCTAACTGTTTGTCCTTTCTGCTTAACAAGAGCAAACACAATACCCAAACACCCAACATAATTAAACACCTGGACAATTAGCACTTGGTTATTTGTCTTAAATGTGTTGTTTTTGTCTTTAATCCAGAATATTGGCTCATATGTTGCAAAGTGGAGCTCCCTAGCCTTTAGTCTCCAGTGTTTTCTCTCATCACTGTACGTACTGTTCCTTTCCTGGAGAGGCCTGCGTCGCTATAGCTCTGCTCAGGTTCAAACCTACGGTCAACTCTCGCAGGTAAATCTTCAAGAGGGAACAAAAATGATTGATATAGATGTTAATTTAGGCCAAAAAGTATTTATGAACCATATTGTTCATTCTGCTATTTTAATACTGCCTACATTTTCTACAGGAAACAGAAACAAATGAAGGTCTCCTGGAACACATGGAGTATAATCTTTGAACATCATTATTTTCCATTTAATTATTATAATTATTCATCTTCTACTTTCTGGTGTTGTAGAGAGTCTTTCAGGAGGTAGAGCTAATCTCAACTGACCCAAACAGCCATTTACATCTATAGTTAATATAGAGCATCCCATTTTAACAACACTCGCAAAATTTTCCAAATTATAGAATTTATTTATATTATTATTATACTTCTGCCTTTCCCCTGGAATACCTATGTTTCCCCAAGAGATGGCGAAAAGTTTGTCCACGCCTGAGTTAGTCCGTAATCTGCATGTTTTAGACAGTGGGAGGAAACCTTTAACCAGGCTGTTTAATGGCGCTAGCAGTAGCCACCATGTTACAACATGAAGCCTTGAAAGCTTTTAACCCCTTGTTTTGTTTATGTAAATGCATTGTTAAATATTCTCCGGACATTTGAAAAAAAAAAGTGTTACTGCTGTTGAATAAAACTGTGGTTTTATCGTGTTGACTGGACTAAGAATTAGCATTAAAAACTGTTTTTTTTGTTGAGAAAATAGACATATTTATGGTTATCCACAGACCAGGGGTGTCAAGGGGGGCATGACAGAAGATAATTGAGAACCACTTCATTAGACTGAGGATAAAAATAGATTATACAGCTGTATGAGTTTGGATTATGCTTGAAATAGTAAAACCTGTTTTACTGTGTACTGCTCATTCTCACTGTATGGTGGTGACAATGACAAATAATTCACTTTCACGTTCACTTAAAGATAGTATACTGAAAGTCTCCTCTCGCCCACATCCCCCCTTCCCATAGAGCCCTGCCCCACTATTTGAGAAGCACTGCTGTAAAACTAGTATAATTTCAATGCAGTTTTATTTTTATTTGTTCATTGATTTTATTTTAAAAAGAGGTTAAATGCAATTAACTTAAATAATACTATAATCTTCAGCCTATTTGTTTGTTTGTTTTTGGTTATTTTTTTGGTAATTGGATTAAAACTAGAATATTATATACTAGAATATTGCTAGTATAGTGATCAGAAAATAAAGTGTAAAAATTTACACACTATTGTTAATACCTTCCCTCCCCCCACACTGTTATTATTTCAAAAATATTACTAGCCCTTATCCAACACCAACTACCTTGAAACTAATCCTAAACTAAATGTTGAACCCCAAAATACAGGGACTTGCCACATGTACCAATAATTATAGCTGCACCAGAAAAAGAACAAAAACTCTCACATACTGGTTATTGTGTTTTTTGAGCACTTTTCAAAGACACATTTTCCAATCCCCTTTCACTATGTGTACATTTAACAGCCCAAAGTATGGAAGTATAAAGCCTACTCAAGCTAACTAACTTTTAATACCAGTCAATATACTAACACGTGCACAAGGTCCTCAAAATGTCCTCGTTCAGCTACTTTTGACAAACAGTGTCCCCACGTGTTTAGCTAAAGCAGGACCACACACACACATTCCTTGGAGTGAAAAACACAGTCACAGAGCAACTCGTTTCTCACGGCATGTCTCCTTAAAAGCTTCCAGCTGTTGCCTGGTCGGGCGAGCTGCTATGGGAACATGCATTAAACAAAGAGCAACATAGGATCGTGGGTAAAGGCGCGCAGCTGGAGAATAGAGGAATGAACGGGACACTACGGGACTTGCGTCTTCAGAGAAACGGTCCACGATGTACTTTTTTGTTTATCAATGTCACAGTCAAAAAAAGACAAGTTGTTCAAAAAGCATCATGCATGAGGAGAAAAGTCACTGTGCAGGTGTCTTCCTGCTGCTCTGATGAGTAATGTCTCTGTCATGATCAGCACTTTATCAGCATTTGGAGTCTTTCTGCCGTTTGACTCCTCAGGATATCCTCCTTCTCCTGCTGGGACAGGGTGTAAGGGAAGGAAGTGAGGCCTGGATATGATGACACGGGGATGACTGTGTCAATTGAAGTGGAAGTCGCTTCTATACATGGAGAGTTTCTTTTGTTTGGGGGTGACTCAGACTTTAAACTGACCAACTGACTAATAACCTGGAAGGATTTGCTGTGAACCACAAGGATGTGAATGAGTAGGCTATAGATGGGGATTTTTCTGTGTTGGTGGCACTGATTGAAGAGCAATGGACTGAAGCCCTTATTTTGATGATACTGTACTTCTTGTAGTCGGATTTCTTCTTTTATTGGGTGCTCACAACATCCACCAATCTTCTCTGAGGTCTTTCTCTTCTTGTCTGACAACTCTAACATCCTTTGTCCCAATATCTCCACCAGTGACGTGCGGTGAGGTTCATGGCTGGTGAGGCACTGACTCCACTGGAGTCAAATTTACAGTTGTAAGAACAGAAAAGAGCATCTTATTTCACTATTCATCCAACAGCATCACCTGGTAATGCTCCATATCTCATCAGCATTCCTCTTTCAATGACACTGACACCAACACAGACATATACACAGGGACAGATTTGTCCTACAAACGTTTCTTTACACAAATGGACAGCGCACCCTCCTTGTGTCTAAGAAATTCTAATTCTCTGTAAACAAATTAAAGTATAGAGATGAGTGCAGCTCAAATTAAATTTTTGCACATCAGTAAAAAAAATCAGTTATTTTTCAAACTTTAAATTCTGGTGCTTTAGTCAAAGGTTGTTTATTAATTTGATAAGAAAAAAATATTTTAGGCTAAAATGTAGTTATCAAACACAATTTTTATTCTACTTACTCCCATCTTATTTTTAAAAACAAAAACCTTTTTTAGCCTTACCTTCACTTGTAGATGAAGTCCGTGGTTGTGTCTCTCGGTTTTCCCTCACCGTAGCATTGTGGACGCTGAAGTTTAGTCTCCGTTGCTCATCCAACGCCAAATCGATCATTGAAATTTCCAGAAGTTTTTAGAGAAATGTGGCTTTACATGTGCTGATCTTTCGTGTTTCCTGAGGCTTCTTTGCCAATTTTTCAGGTCACAGTATCCCGAGTTAGTCCAGACGTTATCACACGATGAGAATAAAAAGCAAGGAACGCAGTTACGGCGGTTTCTTTCAGGACAGCTACGCAGCCAGTCTTTTCGTTTGTACCAGTACATTTAAAAAGAACGACTCTTCTGACCCGTAGTGTGAAGCTAACCTTTTAGCGCCGGTCTTCCATCACTAACCAACTTATGTTTGGACCGGAAGTCCAACAGTCCATATTTCCGTCTTGAAACACAATCCATAGTCAGTCGGATCACCTACTACTAGCTCTAGCTTGGCGCCGACTTTCAATTGTCCGTTGACGCCAGCTCGAGAGCACCTGTCAGTTCACGTATGACCCCTTGAGGTCAGGCAGAGTACTGTCTGCTTCCCTGTTGACTTTTCTCTGCACTTTTGGCTGTAACAAAAACCTGCCCGCGTGACCCGGTTTGTATTGAATCACGCAGTCAGAAGTGAGGCACAGCTCGCCGCTGCCTCACCGCGGACCCCTTCACTGTATGTTGCTTCAGTGTTCTTTGCTGCTGTCCAACAACGACTACTGCTTACATTTTATTCATGATAAACAGATAAGTATTTTGTGTGGGACTACGCTTCCCGGTGGAAACTCCCGAGGGATTATTAAAGTTCTATCTATCTGTCTATCTCACTGTCATTATCCCATGAACATATTTAATTTACTATGAACACTGCAGTAATAAAAGTGTCTCCACCCACTTAGTGACAGGGAAATTCCATTATAAGTACAAATATGTTTTAAAAAACAGAAACAGAAACACACCTTAAATATTTTGTTATGGCTACGCATTTGTTTGTTCAACACCCCACCCCCATTTCTGGGTCTCCACCTCTCTCCTTGTGTGCGTCGGGGAATGTGGCTTATAAGGACATTTGACCTGAATACATACAGAGGATTCAGGGACATGTGTGTGTGTGTGTGGACTGCAGGGGTGAAAGGGTTAACTGAGTGGTGTGTGTGTGGGAAAGTTAATTTTGGCAGGTGACTGGTTCAACACAGAATGTTCAGGGTTTTGAGATTGGATTCCAACAACCATGTGACGTTTGGAGATTTTTCAATGTGGCCCTAATACTACGCTTCCCACCCTGCGCAGCGCCTCTAGCTCAATTCAGAGATGGAGGTAGAATATGACCAAATACATCATTTTGAGAACATTCATCAATAATTTATTTTTCTTACTCTCAAGAACCACCACATCTTCTCGTCTTGAAAATTCATCATTGATTTACAATGCCAGTTTTGAAAAATGTAAAGGTACTATACAAATTTTTATTAGAAAAAAGAATAAATTAACTGCGGAATTACCTTTCTACTATGTTACAGTTGAACCAAACCGATCAAATAAAGTCACATGCTCTATTGTTTGGCTGGAGAAATGTTCTACTTTTAAAATGTCTGTTAAAATAAGCTTAATTTCGCACATCGGTACTGAGCGCATCGATAACAGTGAAGGGATTTTCTTTTCTCGATCCAATGACAATGCAGTAACTGGTCATTTTGTAGCACCTGAAAGGGTTGTTACAATGTCAAAAATAATAAACATTAAAACAATACTGACATATACAGTATATATATAAAACAGAACATTGTTAGAACAATGAATGTCAATGTTAGAAACGTCAAAAAACCTTCACATACCGCCTTCATTAGGACAGGAAAAACTGATTAAAGAGTTCATATCATTTTGACTTTTTTTTTAAAAATCTTCTAAAATCTAACCGAAGCACAGAAACTGTGTATTTTGGAAAAACGGGAAACGTCGACTTTATCACGTTGGGCTCATGACGTCAGAAATTAGGACAATGTTTTACAGAGAGTGACTAAATGGACACGCTACTGTTAATGAATACAACGTGGTGTGTCGATGTCTTTGGGATATTAGTGGCTGGATCACTAAGACATGCATAGGATTGTGTTGGACTTTTATCAGAAAAGGCTGAAATGCAGTACTATTAAATACTGCTAAAAAATACCTGTCAGTTCTAAGGTAAGATTGTGAGATTTAGGTAATCATTCTACTGAGATCGTCTACACAAGTGTTTTTGTTTAAGAAGAGAGATGTTGACCACTTCTCTTCTTAATCATTAAAAATCTGCCATATTCCTAAAAATAGCAACAGGTGATAAATCTGGGGGGAAAAAAATCAACACCAGTATTTTTTGTATTCTTTGATAAACAAATCTGAAAAAAAAAAGAATTTATATTTAGAGACCACTGTAACATGAACAATTCTACCTCTTCGGTACAAATGTTGTGTGCTTATTTTATTTTAAATTTTTTAAAGCGCCTTTTCAAAATTCTGATTGTTGTTAGGAGAAAGGGGAGTTTCTCACTTTAAATTATGGCTTCTGTTCTGCCCTGATCCCGGAGTTGTGTAATGTGAATGATCAATGTAGTGTAAAAAAAAAAAGTTCAGGTATTACATCTACCCGTCCTAGTTGCCTTTTCCATTAAATAAAAGTTTTCAGTAAAATACACAGAGTAGAAAGTGAGAGTAAAGAAATAGCAGCTCGTGCTCTCACGCACTTAATGTTGTGCTTTAAGACCAAAGAAGAGTCGCTGTGACGCCAAATTGAATTAAAGAATTACCTGCTTTGTTGCTGCTGCCCCACAGTATCTAATCAAACCCGCGGTTCTCTGAAGGTTTTGTAAGGACCAGGAGATGCCGTTCCTGTGATGAACTCAAAACATACAGGGTTTGGAATAAACAAGGAAATAGCACTGGTACGTACCAATAAATGCAAACTGTTGTGAGCGGCAGTACTGACCTGGCATCTTGTGGTAAGTCGAGTTACTGCTGACATGTTACAGAGGTGTATTTAAAAAAAAAAAAAAAAAGACACCAGGATGTGAAACCTAGCCGAAAAGACAAGAAAGAGTGAATAAAGTGATAACTGTTTTGTTTTTTTTCTCCAGCGACGTCTCAATTGCTAATGAAGATACTAATCTGTGCTGATGTATTTAAAAATTCACATCTGTGTAGTTAGTCATTATAAGGCTATTTGCTTAAATTTCTGAAGTCTGATGACGAGCTGACGCTGAAAGTACTTTTGATGAAGACGCAACCGGAGCGAAGCGTCGTTATCACCTACTCCTTCAAAATAAAAGAGCGTTTTATTTTCTTAGGGTCAGCAGATGTACGAATGTGCTTTTAAACACACACAGAAAAAATGTTGCTGGAATCAGGATAGGCTACTCTGAAATATGGAATTGTTTTGCGGTTACAAAATAAACCAAATGGCCAAGGTGTCAGTTTAAGGGTGCAAATCCAATTAAACTCTGCCTTTAAGTTCCGTTCATAGTCCTCCATGTGGCCAGACATGACCACAACTGAATCCCATACGAACACAACAACAGGAAATGAACATGTTCACGTTCAGTGTTTTTTTTTTATGCTGAAGTCCTCAACGAAAGGGTCCTGATAGTCAGTTAGACTTCTGCAGGGACGTCTGTGTTCTTGGTGTGACCGGGTTAATCCAGCAGTTGTCTTTGGTGATGGGTTAATACTGAATGCAAATGAATGTTGGTGTTTTTGTTTAATTTCTCTTTGTTTGGATCATCTCCTCTTATTGGGCCACAATACTACATTGACTGTAGTAGACAACAGAACAGTTGGGGCCTGTAAATGTTACCACTTTTGACTCAAATCAAGTTCTGATTTGACGGTAGCGTATTGCAGTAAAAAAAAGGCTATAGGATCAAAAATAAGATATGAAGCAAATGCTGGGTTTCTGACTTGTTTTGTTCTGTGCTCTGTCTCTTCCCATGTCTCATTTTGCTTGTCTGTTGCTTGTGTGCTGCAGGGTTAGGAAAAGGGCTCAGTGTTGCTATAGGCTGACTATTCCGATGCTTTGGTGGCTCTGCTCAGTCTGTCTTCTAAAACCAACCCTATGTCAAGACCTGCTGACTTTCGTCCCTTCACAGGAAGAGGTGAAATGTGTATGGAGCAGAACATATGGAGGATAAAGGCTTCAGTTCCACCCAATAGTCTGGTCGGAGCAGGATTTCGCAGGGCTTCAAGGATGAGGTTGTTGGTTGTCACTGGGTAGTAGTGAAGAACAGCCGAGAGGGCAATGGGACCGTCCTGGAAGGAAGGTCTCAGACCAGGGTTCCAGGTTTGGCCTTGTCAGATCCGTACCACTGCACATCTGCCAGCTCTGAATACAGGGGACTGTTCAGGAAACAGCTGTCACTGAAGGGCCTGCAAAGGGAGAGACGCCACCATCACTCTGACCCTTCCTGAATAAGAAAATACATACAGCCACACCCTAACGCCACAAATATAATACTACAAAAATACTCCTGATACTGCATGAACTACCAAAGCAGCAAACACATGCACTGAAAAGTATCAACCTTCTGACTGACGTCTAGGTAATAACATGAAACCCATCACACAGGCTTTAATTTATTCACCTGATGACTGGAAGTAACAGCAGGAGATAATTTAACAAGTGCTGAAGAAGAACTCTTAACACACTATGTAGTGCACAGGTGTCAAACTCGTGTAATTATATTTGGCCCGCGAGATCATATCAAACGTGTACTAGAGTTGGCCCTCCAATATATAGCTCCTATATACTGACAGATATTAGTATTAGCAGTGTATGTGCTATGTTTACAGTACATACATTTTGTTTTGTTTTTTTGTTGTTGGCCTGTGAAAAACGATTTACATTAAAAAGGAACTCGAAAGGCCACAGATAAAGAGACATAACAAGAAACAAATACTACTGATGTGTGTTTTATTTCAAATTGAATTTCTTTATGATTTTAACCTTTGGTTGTTCCAGATTCAATGTTTAGAGAAAACTAAAGTTTGTTTCCACATGAAACAATTCTACACCACAATTGCCAATTGTGAATTAGAGTTTGAGTTCCAATTTCGTCTGGCAAATATAAACAGAGCCGTCTTCCTCGTCGGAATGAGGGAACAAGACTTTCTTAATAAATGTATACACAAGGGGAGTGACAATGTAACGCTGCAATGCTGTAAGATGTCGTAAACCAAGGACCCTGTGTAGTTAATTCAGCAGTGACATACTATACAGCTCTGTGGAATGTGTTGCTACAAGTAATACATAAAAATCTGTAACATTGCAATTAATATGCAAATTGCGGTATGATTTAATTGCTTGATTATCAAGGGCGAACCGTTCATTCAACATTTGGAATGCTTAAAAAAATGACAACAAAAAGGCTGTCACATAAAAACAGTGGTTAGGGCCAATCCCCATGTTACAACATAGGTAAATGTGTCTATTAGTAAATGTAATAGCAAGTGAGTCACACTGAGCAGGGCACATGCAATGGTCAGGCCCACATACAGCCAGAAGAAAAACTAACACACAACCCTCCACCACCAGCAAGGAGGAATCATCAATTCTCACACACACACGAGTACAAGGAGTGTGTGTCCAGTCAAACCTGCGTCCTGACTTTACAACGCAGCAGGAGATCTCAGAGTTCTGCTTTGTCGTGTTTTTAAACGTGTTCCTTCTTTAATGCTGCGGCTTTGTATTTCCAACACTATACACTAAGTTTAGAGCAGGCATGGGCAAACTAAGGCCCGGGGGCCGAATGCGGCCCGTTCATCTTTTTAATCCGGCCCGCCAAACTTTTCCAAATGATAGAATTTATTTATATTATCATTATACTTCTGCCTTTTCCCTGCAATACCAACGTTTCCCCAATTGATGGCGTAGAAAATGATAAAAGCATTTTAGTATTTTAGTTTTTATGCAGAACTTTTACATGTCATTTATCTCAGTTCCCTTGAACTCTCCATCTATCTGCCCCTGTCCTGGCCCCCTGTTCAATTTTAGGACGATTGTGGCCCACGAGTCAAAACGTTTGCCCACGCCTGGTTTAGAGTACTGGGAGATGGAGACCACAGACAGTACCTCTATGCATCTGAGCTGGGCTGAGGGGGAGGCTGACAGACGTCCTCAGGGGGAGAGCAGTCTGCTGTGCCTCTAGACCAGGAGAGAGGACACACATGCAGAAGGACAGAAGGGTTAGTAAAGACAGACAGAGAAACATGCCAGAAACCACAGTGTTAAATGAAAGGAGAGACAGAGACAAAAAGAGAAAGTGTGAAGACACAAAGGACACAGATGTACAGTAATAAGTGACACGTTACGTTAACAACAGATATGAACCATACGCCGAGAGGAGAGTTTTCAATTCGTGTAAGCACAAAGACGTAACGGCTTTTTCACGAGCGTGACAAGCGACGTCAGCTGAAAGACACACACGTCAGACACACGGTGAAAGTAGAGTTACAGTGAGATTAAAAGTTAAAAATATATAAGAAAAAAAGCTCACAGGGCAAATTCAAATTCTTACCAAAACAAAATCATATGTTTGCACTGTTGACTAGAGAATATTAAATTTGATTTCTAGTTTTTTCATCTTTTGTTTTCCAACATAATTATGTTTAGCACATTAAAGAAATATCTGTTGATTCATTTCTAATTTAAGCTCCCTTAAAGTAAAAATTTAAGATTTAAAAAAAAAAAAATCATATGATAAATTAATCATCGGCCTTTGCCCTTCTGCTTTGTTAAAGATGTTCTTTAGGTGAATCATGACGTATCCCAACCATTACTGTGCATGAGATGCGTCAAAAATATCTGAATCAGATTTCATTTTAAACCACCTTGATGAAAGTACAACGTAAAACCAGCGGTTAATACAAATTCATAGATCGTTAACACCATTTCACGTGAGCTCTCTTACCCGCTGCTCTGCCAGTTGAGGATATGTTGCGGGCTGCAGGGGGGCGTAGGTGTGGCTGCTTGTTCGCTCGATGGCGTCATACTCCTCTGGCTGTGGGGAGACGCAGCTACAGGGAGAACAGAGAGTCGGTTGGACTGAGCAAAGGATGACAGCAGCACAGCAAGTGTTTGGGCAACAGGGAGGTGAATGTCTCTGGGACTGTGTTATTCCTCATATGTCTCTGCCAGTGACAGACCCTATGATGCAGTAGGCCGTGCATCTAATGTATAATGTGAAGGTGGAGGGGTCAGACGGAGTAACATTTACCCTGTGAATTCTGTGTTCCAGGAAAAAAAATTTGTTTTTCCACTGCTCTTAAGCTGCTGCAGCAAAACAATAATATTATGAAATAAGAACATCAATGATCCAAGTAACAGAGATTAGTACTTCGACTCTAAACCTATTGTAATAAATATGCTGTGTGTATATATATATATACACAGTATATATATAGACCCTCTTTACAATCACTCTTTTCAATCAGCAACGCCAATTCATTTAGCAGCCTGGTGTTTGTGGCAGTCAGGTCAAGGTGAAAATATTCTTCGTCTTCTTTCTCGTCATCAATATTTTACGCAGTATTTTAAATCGAATCTGCATTTTTTTTCTGACATCATATGAAGCTTAAATTGTGTACTATAGCATTTGTATGAATTAAATCACATTTCATGACAATAACAGTTTCATAATATTTGACAACAGATATCAGAACTGATGCTCACAATTCAGTTTGGTTGATACAGAGAATGAATAGAGTTGTGTGCAAAAGAAAATGTCACGGCAGCCTTGGTTCATTCCGATGGCATTTTTTTCATTTTTCTTTCAAATGCGCCCCATCACGAATGAATAGAGTTGTGTGCAAAAGAAAATGTCACGGCAGCCTTGGTTCATTCCGATGGCATTTTTTTCATTTTTTTTTCAAATGCGCCCCATCACTAGTATTGATTTTAGTATGATTGTATATGTGCAGGTGTTCTATTTGTATGGATGTGTGTAGAAATGCATTTGTAACTATGACATAGTAAAAAAATGCAGCTTAGCAAGAAGATTAGAAAAAAAACCAGGTCAACTCAAACCTGGATCAAGAAGAAATGTAAGCTGTCTACCTGGTGAGCCCTTGGCGAGTGTCCCCACTCGAATCCCTCGTCCAGATCCCAGAGTGCCTTGCTGTGATCCAGTCTCGGACGAAGTGGACCCCGAATGTGAATGACTCCTTTCCTTAAGGCTTCCCGAAGACCTCTGGTACCAGCACCGCAGTTCTTCAGACACTGCAGCCCTCCCCCCACCTCCTCCACCACTACCCTCCCTCCCCAAAGATGGAGTCCGTACGATCTGAGAGCGTGATGGCGTGAGTCGGCCAATGCCCTCTCCTGCGTCCTCTCCCCCCCAAGCTTCCTTGTACAGTCCCCCGGCTGTGTAGGAGCAGGATGTCTTGAACTGGGCCTTCACGCTGTAGTGACCCTCCTGATCGCTTTCCAAACTGCGCACCACCACAGGGTTGGGGCTGCCCTCCACGTACAGTGGGTACTCCTTAATGCGGTACTGGGAGGAAGGCTGGCTCTGGCTGCTAAGGTAAACTCCATGGTGTCCTCCTCCCATGCTGCCTGCACCGACACCTTCACTGGAGCCATTTTTTGCGGCGAGGTTGGGCATCGAGCCCGAATTAGAAGAACCAAGATGTCCTGCAGACCTGAGAAAAGAAAACAATCATTTTAACATCCTACTAAGGTCATATTATTAATAATAACGGAATTGGCGGTCTAATGTCAATTAAAACAGAATGATTCTGATTTTCTCTGACCCTCAGGTCACTGCTAATTAGTGGCATGAAAATGTAACAACATTGTAGCAATTGTGCATTGAGAGAACAAAAACAGAAATACTGTTTATTGTAGGAGTGTCAAACTCAAATTCACAGTGAGCAAAAAATTAAAAACTGGGACGAAGTTCTCAATATTTATGGAAAAACTGACGACAATTGTGCATGTTTTCTCTTCTGTCCAGATAGGTAAAGTAGATTTTTTTTTCCATATGGAAACAAAGTTTAGTTTTGCATAAACACAACAAAAGCTATATATGTATTATAAACACAGGTAATTAAATTGAAAATAAAACACACATCAGTAGTATTTGTTTCTTATTGTGTCTCTTTATCTGTAGACTTTTGAGTTCCTTTTAATGAAAAATTATTTTTTCAGTCCAACAAAAAAAAAAACCCAACCTAAATGTATGTGCTATAACATGGCTCACACACCACTAATACTACAAATGTTGCCAACTCTAGTACACATTTGATATGATGTCACGGGCCAAATATAACTACACTGAGGGCCAGATTGGTGTGGAAATCAACTATTAGTGTCTAGGAAGCCTAAAGCTACTAGCTTCAATGATTAACTTTACTATGCTTGACCACTGCCTAAATTCATATAGAAATATACTGTAGTATACTGTATGTAGTCCTGATCTCTTGTCAAAACAACCAGTTACTTTCTACTCCCCCACCTGTGCCTTTGCCTCTGCCTCTGCCTGGCTTTAGAGGGTGAATCCTCCCCCAGAGTGGAGTAGTTGGGGTTGTTACCAGGAGGTCTACCGGCGGGGTAAAAATGTTCTGAGCTGCTTTGGCTGGTGCAGGATGAACAGTCATCCAGAGGGTCAGAGCCGTTGGAGCTGCGTCCTGGACCCACAAAGAAGTCAGGGCTGCCAAGAGTTCCCAGAGTGTGCGGATGTGTGTCTGGGTCAGACACAAGCAGCTTGCCTTGAGACTCTAGGCTGGAGCTGCGGTTTCTAAAGTGCTGAGCAAGACTGTGCAGACGTGTGGGACTGATGTCCACTGATCTAGAAAAAAAAAAAAAAAAGACAGAAAATTATTACTTTTACAGTTGCATTCAATTGTAAGGTGTCAATGTTACTAAGGTTACGTTAAAAGCTCAGAAATCAGAAACAAAACCCATATAACTAGCAAATTGTAACATAACCACAGCAGGGATTCTCTGAGGTTTTACGGAATATACCAAAGTTGGTCATTTTTCTCAGACACTGTATAGTTAGTTTTAAAATTAAAAACTCCAGAAGTCATTGAGACTGACCTAGTAGAATGTACGTAGTGTGGTGTCCTAGACCTCAGGTCAGGGGTCGAGGGCATGCTGGACTGAGAGTTCCAGTGAGGAAGAATCCTGATAGGGCTGCTCTGCAATGAGTTACTGCCTCCAACATCTGCACTACTAGAGCTTGGAAAACGCCTGTGACTGAAAAAGAGGGACGAGGAAAAAAAAAATCCCAGAAACTGAGACCACATTGTCAAAACAATCATGTTTTTAAACACTGTTTGATTAGAACATGCCCCTGTGCTTGTATTATTTGTTCTATGTTTAACCCCCCTGTTGTTCTTAGCATTAGCACACACACACACATACATACAAAGGCTTATTATCAGCCACCAGGTCACCTACACCACAGGACGGGAGGGTTAAGACCATGTAGGTTTACTAGTACAGTCATTCAGCAATGTTGTATTAAAATGAACCCTTGGTACCTGGAGTATGACGAACGTTTTTTGACTTTTTCATAAGGCTCATCCAGCGATGATTCACTCCACATCTTGGGCTTGATGGGTGATTTATCGTAGTCTGAGCATGTGTAGTGCAAATGTCGCAGGCCATCCAGGGACTGCGGTGGAGGGGGCCGACTGTGAGAGGGTGGTTTAGGAGGTAACCCCTTGTGAGGTGAAGCTACTGGAGAGAAGGTTGGGGTTCCTGTAACTTGGGAGTCATCTGAAACACAAATAACTAAAATAAGAAGCCTGGACTCTTGTAGTCAGGTGTGCCTTATTTGGGAGTTTATGGCAACAGAATAAACTGCTCACATTGTAGGAGTACTTGACAAAGCATGACGTATTGGGAAACCATTTTACCAAACCTTTCTAGCTTAATACTCACACAGTGGCTCAGCTCACATTAGGATACTGCATAACACAGCAATAACTGATGAATAAAGATACCACAGAGAGAAGCAGAAAATACAGACATCCTCTCCAGGCTAACACTTCAGCAGTCAGCAGTACATTTAAAATATTAAATCCAATAAAAGATCTTACAAAATGAAATATTCTAAGTTATTGCTTAATAATCACTGAATTTATTAGATGAATCAACCTACCATCATCCAAGACCAGTGCATCAGACAAGGAGCTGTCTTCAGAGCCAATATTCGCTTCTATGACAAAAAGAAAGAATGAAGCTACAAATAAAGATTGAACAAATAGAAAATGCAGATAGCAGTAACAAAAACCTTTTCAAAATTAGTTTTTCCATCGTCAAAACTTTATTTCTACCTTCTATTATGAGGGACGCTCTCTGCGTAGGCTTTTTTCCCGAGCGGACACGATACTCATTGATAGAGTTCTCAATTTCCTGCAGCTTTTTCAGTGCGCTGAGATAAGACGTTTTCCTCTGTTTCTTGAGCTTCTTACTGCTTCCATGAGGATCGCTGGCGAGACGCCGGGCCGCCTCAGTAATCTGGGACTGAATGGCAAACTCTCGTTCCAACCGCTCCAGCTCCACTTCCTGGTATTAACACATGAACACAAGTGTCATTAAAAATAAGAAAATAATGAATGCTAGAAATTGTAACAGTTTTACTGTGAAAAATCTAATTAGAAAAATCTAATAACTCCCACTGATGTCCGATGGGGCATTTTCAACAGAATTTTCCTTCAAATCTTCATTTCCTCAACGTCATGTCCATCATATGAACTTAAAATGGAGCTAACGCTGCTTGTGATCTCTATCAGATCAGAGGGTTTGGTCAAGAAGAGTATCTGGCGTTAAAATCGTGCCAAATGCCAAGGCAGACTACTAAGTAGAAGTTTCTCTGAAATACTGAAAACGTCAGATGATCTTTATTTGCTTGTGTCATAAGGACAAACCTCTCCCTTTGGAAGAACCTTCTGCTCGTCCAGTTTGAAGGCAGTGCCGATTTTCCGTCTCACTGTGGGTGGCTCTTCACCTGGATCGAGTGGATATTCTTTAGGAAGCTTTCCTGTCAGCTCCTGAAATTACAGTAGAGGAACAGGGGCTATTTAAAAAGACCGACATATTTGTTTTAATAATTCTTTAACCCTGCCGTTGTCCTTTGCATTTTGTACACACCCGGCATCCTCACACCGGGTTTGCATCTTGTCCCAGAATCAGGTTATGAGGAAAAGTTGGCATTGGCAAGCGGTGCAGTACAGGAGCACGCACATGCTCTAACACACACCAACACTAAGGCATGTTATCAGTCACCAGGTCACTTAGACCCAAAGGACAACAGGAGGGTTAAACAAACTGTCTGACATTCACTTACAGCTTCTCTGATGCAAATGCTCTTCAGTTCTTCTAGTCTCTGTCTGAGTGTTTCCTCCAGAGCTTCCTGCCGGGCCCTCAATGCTGCCAACATGTCTTTCTTTGCCGTCTGGGAACTGTCTGATTCCTGAGAGCCTGTAGGGTACAGACAGGACGGGACACAAGGTTAAAGATTTGTGTGTGTTTGTGTTCGTGTAAGTCGGTTTGGTGTCAAACGATGCGTGAACAAAAGGGATCACAAAGAGCGGCGATTACTCATGTAGGCCTCTGCTAACTTTGCAGGATGTTTACAGGAAATCTAATCAGACATTTGGATGACGAGAGGTAACCTTAAGTGTTGTGTTTATGAAAAGCTTTTGAAAGAAAAGGCATTTCAGGCAAAGAGTACAATGCACAAACTCCAAGACTTCCAACATCCGGCAAGAAGCAAACTCTCTCTCTATCTCACTCTCTCTCTCTCTCCTCTCTACTGATCTGTCTTTCTTGCATACACAGATCCTATATAATTTAATGTGTAGTGAAATGTGGTTAAAAAAACTGTTTTGAATGCAACAGAAATATGTATCTCACTCCTTTCTGAGTTGCAAACAAAAAAAAACTTCCAGCCTTAAATTTAAATGAGTGGGAAAGGGGGCTTTTTTATTTATTTACAGCCTTAGCCGCAGACCAGGTTAACTATAAAACATAAATATTATACTGTGATCACTGTGGTAAATTTAAAAAATGTTGGACAGGTCCTTCATACTCTTTGTCACACAGCACAGAAATGCTTTGTTTTTAATGATCCAAAGTTCTTCTTGCTCACAATTTTAGGGCCTCGGGATGAGCCTGTGTGACAGGGATTGTGGGCGTGGTGCTCTATATACATACAGAGACATTATGTGTATATACAGTACGTATGTGTATGTGTGTGTGAGATCATCAGAGACTCAGGGGCCTCTCTCTAGTAGCAGCTGTTTCTGTCCTTTCAGTTGTTGGTAATGCCACCCCCCCCCACCCCACCCACCATCACACATGCCAACTACTTCAAACACACTATCACAACAGTAAGTGTCTCTATTTAAATCTTTGTCTCCCAAAAAATGCACAACTGCATTATCCACAGTTTTTGTTTCAAAGACTGACCTGAGGATAGCAAACTGCCACTGCTGCCACTGATAATTTTTCCCTTGCTGCCCATGTTAGCCAGTTTGGAGGTTTTCAGTGTTCCTGTTTCCGTCAGGTCGATGGCAATCTCACTCAAACTCCGTGCTGCATGAATTTTTGACTGCACAGACAAGAGCGTAGAAATTAGGGTGAGGCATTTGACGCGTTCTGCTGATACGAAACATCTTTAACATTGGGGGAAAACATTGCAGAGATATTTCTTTCATGTCTTTTCTCGGTGGCGTGTAACTGGAGGGCAACTAGTAAAGTAGATCCACCGACCTTGCTCTGTTTGCGGTCCAGGTAGAACTGGTGTTGGCTGATGGCCATGGCCCAGATGGACTTGATGAGGACAGGACAGGCGTACCAGGTATGCACAGCGATGCCACTGTGACCAAATGTCCTTCTCGTCACCGACGCCCTACAGTTGGAGCGGACACAAGGCCTCCTTATATACACTGAATACAGAAATTCACTTCACATTTCTAACAGAAGAACACTACAATTGCCACTGCAAACGAGAACACCATTACAGAGGAGGGAGCTGTTAATAGGGAGAAAGCAGGCCCCACTTTTTTCATGCACAGCCACACACGATGGTTCTTTTGTTTACTTATCCCTTATCCCACACATTAGTAACCGAGCAACAGAACCAACTCACCCAAAATGACAGCTTCCTTTAAAGAAAACATTACTGCGCCCTGTTTCAGCTGTTTCGTGTCTCTCTTTAACCCTTCTCCTAATCTCCTCCCCTTCTACAGAACAGCATTGTGTCTGCTGTATGTTCAACAAGTCACTTTCTCTGTATTCTATGGTGAGCTCACCACAGTGACCTGTGGGAGTCTGAATTCTAGTGCCTGCATGTCAGTCTTCAACCAGCTTCCAGTTAGTGTCGCCCCACTGTGACATTCTCACGTTCATATTTAGCTGTACTGTGAAGTCAACCTCTTTTACAATACAGATTTAGATGCACTCCTGCCTTGTAATGTTTCTTGCTTCATTCTTAACACATTCAGATTTTGTACAGTGCAGCAGCAATCCTCAGATGTCATGGCACATCGTTATTTGTTCCTTGAGTTTTAATGGCACAGCAATATTTCTTACTTGACGTTCCATTAAGCAAAGCAGAAACATTAAATATACTGCACGACAAACGTATGCAGAGGCATAACAAAACCACACACAACTGTCATGGCATCTCAGTGAAGGCTGTGGTATAAATTTACCTTCTGGGGTCATGAACTTCCACTGAAAACTTCTTCTCTCTGAAATAGAGGTTCTCCAACTGACGCCATTGGAACACCTAGGAATTAAAAGAAACAAACGTTCTTCGGGGCTATACAGTAAATCCAGGCAACTTTTAACCTCATCCACCGACAGTAGGTCCATATGCTTGCAAATCAGGAGACATGATGAAATCAATAGTGAGGAAATTGGGGGGTGGAGAAGAGGACCTCGTCTGGAGCTCTGTGATCAAGTCCAGACCAGGCAGTCACAGTGGATCCCTTGGCTGAATGACCTCACTCTGGAGCAAGACACAAATGAGCAGGGAGGCCTGTTTTCCTTTTTCCCAGCTTCTTTTTCTTCTCCTTTCTGTCTCCTTTACAAACCACCAGCTTATTCTGTTTCAACGGAGCCAAAGCCAGCTGTCTGAGAAAGTCTCCTCCAAAACCTAGTCTGTAGTATTTGTGCGGCTTAAATGGTCCCAGGTGCAGGGGAACAGAAAGTTTTTCTCAGATGGTGGGTGTTTACCATTTTCAGGGGAGTTTCCATGTATATGTTGGTAGAGAGAAAGCGTGTAAAGTTGAGCTTCCTTTTCTCCTGGAGCTTTGCTGTGAGCTTTAAGGAGGGAGGGGGCATTATTGCCTGTATTGCTCTAACCCCTCCTCTCTCCCATAGGGACTGTGCTTCCTGCTCTGTTCTTTGCAGTGTGTGTGTTGTGTGTGTGGGATGAGACCGAGAGAAGAGGGGGTTCAAGGGAGGAATGATGAAGGGGGTAAGAAACTTATTGTGGCCCAGGACATTTTAGTGCCTTTGCTTTGATTGGTCTCTCTCTCTCTCTCTCTCTCTCCCTATCTCTTTCTTTTACACACACCATTTGATTTTCCCCTCTCTGTTTCTGGTAAGAGAAAAACGTGTTGGCTAAACACAAAGTCCTATGTCTATTAGCTGGTGTGGTGCAAACTCACACACACCCTAAGAATGGACGAACAAAAGAAAATAAATAAAGTAGTACCGTGCAATGACAGGAAAAGGGAGTTAAAAAAAAAAGAAAAGGGAGGAACAGGTCACGGTCCAGGAATTTGAGCTGCCTTAGAAAACAATAGACAGATGTATAACAGGGAGGAATGATTTGGAGGTTATAAGGAGAGGGGTTTTATAAGGAGGATAATATGAACTGATTTCATGCATATTTTGTGCATACTGTACATGTAAATACTCTGCAATTTCCTAAATATAGGAAGCAAAGTAAAAGGTGAGCAGTAGAATTGTCTTTTTTGGACACATATAGCTAGAGTTGCAGAGAAAGGACAAGTGTTTTTAACTTTCTGTCTTCGTAAGCAACTGTTTCTTCATTCATTTCTCATCATAATCACTGAACACCTGCAGTTGTAAAATATTGTAAGCAGACGTGTTTCTGAAGGCCTCGCTGATCCTCACATTGACTTTCACTGACTGATGCAGTCAAGTATGCTGTTTATTTCAGTTACACTGGTACTCTGTGGTTGGCAAAAGTAACTTGTAGCTTCCTTTTTCTAACTGCAGGTGGTGCTCAGTAGGCATTTGTAAGGCCTGTTTCATGATTCATGTGAGCTTAGCCACTGTAGGGAGGAGTTTATACAATTTTAATAATCCTATGGGTAAACTTGTGAGGCAATCTTTCACACCGTAGGTTTTCTTAAAAAAATCATTTTGTAGAAGATTTGACCCAATTGCATTCAGTAAACGAATCCTTCTGGGTGAAACTGCCTTGACCTGGATTTAAGTTCAACTGTTGCAAACCACAGCAACTTTAGGGAAGCACAGAACCACAAAAAAGAAAGATGGTCACGGACAACATCTAAACCACACGTGGGCAAACGAATGGCCCGGGGGCCGGATGCAGCCCGTTGAGCTTTTTGATCCGGCCCGCCAAACTTTTCCAAATTATATAATTTATTTATCTTATCATACTTCTGCCTTTCCCTGCAATACCTACGTTTTCCCAATAGATGGCATAGAAAATGATAAAAGCATTTTAGCCTTTACACATGATCAAATGGATTGTCTTCTGAAATTATAAATGGCCAGAAGGAGCAAGATCTTACCTTCCTGGGCTTGACCTTGTCCTGGTGGTCATACTGAAAGATGCCTTTATAGCTCAGACCTAACCACCATGGAATTCCTTGCTTATCCTGAAACACACAACATCAACATATGTCAGAGCTGAGTGTGCATCACCCATGGACTTTGAGGTATTATATTATAATAACTGATATAACTGATGTGATGGATTGTCATTCCATTCAAGAATGTGATGCAAAAAAATAAAAATAAAAAACACGAGTCATACATTTGCTGTAATAATTGTAGTAACCTACATTAAGGTCATTATACTGTAAGTGGAAACAAGCAACATGGTTTAAAAATAGTTGGTTTAAATCTTAACTACTGTTACACTATTATATAACACTTTATAGACGCTTTGTAGGATAACAGACAGGAACCAGGACATGAGATACCCTGTTAACCAAGTACTTACACTGTCAGGTCATACCACACATTTCCTGCCACTAAATAAATCTCAATGGAAATTCACAATATGAGTCTTTGTCAAATAAATTAATGAGGCACTCAATCAATGATTCACAAATCATTGTTATTAAAATTCCTCTTTTCTGTCTGTAATAAATAGTGGTTTATATCTTAAAAAAGTAAAATTTAAAATAAGACATTTGTACTTTGTAGCAGGTGGCTGCCTTATATTTATATCTTAAAAAAGTAAAATTTAAAATTTGTACTTTGTAGCAAGTGGCTGCCTTATATATTTAGCACAGCTAAAGCAACATAACTAGGTTTGTGGTGCAACTTCCTGCTCCACCCTACCCTTAAATACCAAATGGCCTGTCTGATGTCCTGGAGTAAACCAGAATGTGCGTGGTGGACACATGCAAGTGTAGAGGAAATACAAAACAAAAGCAATAAAACTGTACCTTAACAGCATAGTAATGTACTCCATATGTTGGTAGAGACTCTACGATGCTCATATAACTGTGGAGGAGAATGACACACATTAGGATTACAAAAAAAAATTGAAATAATTCAGACAAAGCCAACAACAGACACACCCGTTTTATAAGACACAGACTTACTTGACAATTGCCTGCCCTCTGGACTGGCTACTGAGCTTCTTGTAATGTTCTATGACCCGGTCTTCGCTGTGACATTTGACAAACAAGAGACAATTTAAAAATAATTATTAGAATTGGGAAACCCATAAAGAGATTAGCTTAATCCAAAAAGAGTAGTCTTTTACCAGTATGCCAGTGATGGGTGGTCCTTCAGGGCCTGGGTGGGCAGAGCTGGGAGCTTTTTCAGGTCAGATCTGGTTGCATCATTGCTGAAATTGAAAAAAGAAAAAGAAAACATCACACAATACTGTCTCTACAACAATAATCACTCTGTAGAGTACACCCGAGTATCTGTAAACCTTAAAATATTTAGAATTTCAGGGGTTTAACATTCTAGGCAAAAAGGCATAAATATTTCCAAAAACACTCCCAGAGTGGAAGAGTCGAGGAGGATTTAGTTTCTCTGTATGCTTATTTCTGCAGCTTTGACACAAGCTTGAGTAGTGAATGCAGTTTTTTTTTTTAAAGAGAGAGGCGGAGGAGGGAGTTATTTAGGAAATTGCTGCTTAGTGAGCTGAAGAAACATGGTTGCTGATTTAGTTCACAGACATCCAATGACAGGATGTCTTCAAATTCCAAAACATCTCTCTCAATCCTGAGAGGATTGAGGAAAGCCTCTGAGAGGTCAAAGACTAAAAGAGCCAAGGCCCCCAAGAGCTATTTTTATAGCCAAATTGAAACAGTGCCGATTATGTGTCAGTCTTTCATGCTGTCTCACTTGGTGAATTTGAACCATTAAAAGGCATTTGATGGTAATGAATCGCTTAAGAGGCTACAGGGAAAAAAAGTACTGTACATGTGGGCTGTTTCTTTAAAATATGCAACTTTCCAACCATCTGTAATGTACTGTTTTTGTGTCCCAAGATTTGATGCAGGGGAGATGTTGTGTGTTATCTTTCAGACAGCAGAAGTATGAGGGTGACAAACATTAAGGCAACATACCAAGGATTCTATGTCCTCTTCTTGCGATGAATCACAAATAGCCTTTAACCCCCAAATAAGGCATTTTTTGTCAGCATTGGGCGAATGATATTTTTCCTCAGAATGACCTTTTCTTACATTATGGGTGAAGTTTCAATGGATTCTATTTAATATGTCCAGAAAATGATAACACCCACTTACAAATTTGTCTATCTGTCAACTTCTGTTTTCATTTCCTTTATTCTCCTCCCTCCTTCTCTATGATTTGAATTTATGGTCTGTGAACTGAGAGCTGTTCTCCTTTTAATTTGCATATTAAACAATATTATAACTGATTAACAAACACAGAAATAGACTAACTGCAAAAGACGTGCACATTGATAGTACAGTATTGTTTCACTGACATATGGTAAAGAAGTGAATGATTCTCTCTGGTACAGGGGCCGGCAACCCGCGGCTCCATAAAGAATGAGTATTTAATTAAAATTTATTTTTTATTTTAGTTGGTAGTTGGTTGGTTTTTAAATATAATTACTAAATATGAAGATTTTGGTGACCTTGTAACATGTTTTTTGTCACTCAAAATATGCCTTACACCTGCCGATGTGCGACACCCGGCCCATATCTGGCAGAGCGGATTTATCCAGCACCTACAGCACCAGCGTGATTTATTGAGTTTATCGACCCCTGGTAGGTAAATGATGGATAAATCCAAGAAAAGATTCTGAAGAAAACTGCTTCTGCTTTCACAGCTGAAGACACTGGTTCGTTCTTGATCAGAATCCAAACCGGATAAACTAGTGTTCGAACCATGGGATGCCATCAATGACACTTATAATTAACATAGCTATGTGACCATTTTATGGAGACCAAAAACCCCAGGTCAACAGATTACCATAACACAAGGCTAAATCTGTTTCCTATACACTTTCTGCAAATCCTGCACATGTAATGATTTCCTTACCTGGTAAAATCACCTTTAGCTTCCTAAAGAAAAAAAATCAACATGTTAAACAAGGTACAAGGTCAGTCAGTTTTGAACCACAATCAAGCAAAGACATTGACAACAACATCTCATGCATTAATCATTAAAGGCCTACAGGACAGACACCTTTATGTGCAGCTATGTAGAGCACACACACACACACACACACACACACACACACACACACACGCACACACACACAGAGGCCTTTTCGTGTGTTACATGTCCTTGCATAACAAAGATAATGAACATTTATGAGAGATAATGATATGAGGTCAGTGAAAGCATCTTTGGAAGACACACAAAAAAGACGTAAGATAAACGTACTTGTAAAATATAGGAAGCCAACTCGAAGACAATCTCGCTGTCGACTTCAATAAGCTCCTGATGTAAAAATGAACACAGTGGAGAATTCTTTTAATCATACAGTGGTCTTCTATTTACTAGAAGTAAAAAAAATCTAAACAATATACAACTATTAATAACAGAAGTGACTGTGCTTGTCGTTTAGTGAGAGGTGGTGAGTAGTAGGAATCAGGTCACGTATGTCAGAAAGTTCACTTAGTGGACGTTATTATGGGCGTAGGGCAATCATTTTTTATTTAGAAGTGAAAAAAATCGGCCAGGATAAAAAAACCTTGTCATCGAAATAAAAAAAAGTGAGTATTCAACTTGCTTATGTCTGCACCTCATCAAAAAGCATGTCCAATTCTTCAGTTACTGTATTACTGTAAATGACTGTACCTTGTAGATGATTGACTTGGCATTTAGAAAGAAGAGCTCAATAGTGGCATTGTCCTTTAGGTAGGATATACTCTCTATGTAGAATCTGAAAACAATATTAAAAGTGTTAACAGCAATAAAAAGGACCATGGTATTAATGGCACATTATTCATATTTTTTAAGACACATTTCAAACACACGCTTATTATCTGTACTGTGTTTATCTCAGAAAAAGCACAGAATAAACAGGTGACATGGACAAAAATGGTGACTTTAAACAGTTGAAAAATGTCATCATCAGGGCCCAGGTTGACCACGCCCTCTTAGTTGCATCTACATGCTCCACAGGACACAATCTCATTTGGATAGGTCTAGTGCAGACAAACTAAGGCCCTGGGGCCAGATGCGGTCCATTCAGCCCACGAAACCTTTCCAAATTATATAATTTGTTTATATTATCGTTATACTTCTGCCATCCATGCAATACCCACGTTTCCCCAATAGATGGCATAGAAAATGATAAAAGCATTTTAGCCTTTATACATGACTTTTTCATGTCATTTATCTTAGTTCACACGAACGCTCCATCCATCTGCTTCTGACCCGGCCCCTCTGGTCAATTTGAGGACAATTGTGGCCCACGAGTCAAGGTACAAATTAGAGAAGATGGGGCTGAGTCTTATCTCACCTTCTGGGTCTTCAGACTACCTGAGGGGCCAAGTATAGCTTGTCATGCTAAAGAACTGTGTGTTGTAGACAGTCTCTGGCAGTATGGCACCTAGCACCTATACTTTTCTCTCTGCATACGATGGCTTTCCACTGCCATATTACCGGAAATACCCAAACGACTGAGTTGCTGCACATAAGAAAGTTTACAACTGATTAACACAACTGTCATAAGGATTGTGAGCACTTGACTAATTAGTATTGTTGAGGATAATGGCCTCACCAAAGTTTTGAAAGTTTTTGCCATATTTAGCTAAATTACAATAATGATTAATAAAGTTGAAAAATTGTGATATATCAGCAACTATAAAAATACAAATAAAATATAAAAACTTCGATGTCACAACTTAAACAAAAAAGAAAACAAAAACACTTTGAATGTAATTCCAGTCAATGAAACTGAAACGTCTCTGACCAAATGTACCAAAACGAACACAGATTGTGCACAAACTGCACTCATACACCCTTCCACACTCCACATTGTTACCATTGTGTAGTAATTCTGCATACAAACACACTCACTCTACCCAGGGAAGCACAGTAACCCACATCTGGCAAAGTAGTGTTCAGGAAGAAAGCATAATAATGCTGTTTAAATTTAGCTCATGAATGCATGCAATGCCAGAGGGGAGGTTTCAAAATACAGACAGAGAGCACTTAGTGGTAGTCCCACTCTGATGGAAACATACGATTTTCAATATTTTAACGGCCAGATTGTGTCAATACAGTATAGGGTGTGAACATTTAAACACTAAAAGTCACACCGAAGTAGGAATCTGTAGACGTCCAGCTACAATTGACATACATCACATAAACACCACAGAATGTGAATACACCATCATTAAGAACCTTTAGAACAACATTCTCAGTGGGTAACACCACTGCTGATCCTCATCTGCTTTAAATGTTCAATTCTTTTCATCCAAGAGACGATGCCCCTGACCATCAGAGCCTATCCCACAGACACCGGCTACAGGTATCGTAGGTTAATGGCAGAGGACGAAATGATTTCCCAATGCTGTGAAAATGTCTTTAGGGGACAGCTTGAGATCAACTTGGCTATAATCCGGTCGTGTGAAACTGAGCCTTTTTAATCTACAAGGAGTTGAAATGATGGGGATGATGGCTAAGCTGCTGGTAAAGAAATCTGGGTTAGAAAGTAATTTTGAGTGACTTTTTTGACTGAATGTTAAGGACAGGCACAAGAGGCTCTGTTCCCACCCGCTGCTGAAATCCATATTTAGCAGTTCCTGCCACAAACATTTCCAGTAAAAGGGCATTCTCCTAGGCAACAGCAAAACTTTTATCCAGCACAATCTAACTCCCTCTACATAAAAACCAGTAGTACAAGGCTAAGACCAGAAAAATGGAATATGGAACATAACAACACTGGATGTATATAAATAAAGTCATTGTATTTCAGTACTGGTGAGTTTTGTATTTATTTATTTTTATTGCAAGCTGCAAGTGTGTGTGTGCCTGTATGTGTATGACTGTATCACAGGACTGTATCACTGTATGGCAGTTACTGTGTGAGTGGGCAGCTTCCACCGCCCAACACCAGTTAAACAGGTGACACAATAAACAGAACATTACTGTCCATGTTTCTAGTTAATTCCAGTCCCTGAAGAGTGTATGACAAAATGAAGACGTGTTGGGAATCGACAACATCTGCTGTGAGTTCTACACAATACACAAAGGTGCTGGTTCTCCTTTCAGGTTTTGTGTGTGGGAATGAACATGGTAGAGCGGCGTGTTTACTTAAAGGGCTGAGAAATCAGATTATCTTTTTTTAGCTCAGGTGCCTTTCTGCTCCTTTTTCAATTGTCTATTAAATATAAAGTCACTGCACATGGAAACCACAGCCTAGACTCACGCACTTACACACACAGACAACTGCTCTTGATGTTATCTGGTTCCCAAGAGTACCTTATTTGTGAGTGGAGTTATTGTGTGAGAAACACAAAAGCGCAGAGCAGACTAGTTTGTGAATGCGTCAATTACCCTTTCTTAAAAGGTCAGATTTTCTTTAGACTGATTTCACTGTAATTTTTTTTTTGATTTAGCCCTTCAAAAGACTGTGACACTGACAAACGTCACGTACATAATATGGGCAAAGCAGTTTATGGGGATGCGACGTGCATCAGACACCATTTATGACTAGTGATTGATGAAGTGATTTTGTTTGTAGACTCACCGAACATAAAAATACAGGACAATAGGACCAGACTTTTTAGGAAACTCGTGCTCCAACACCCTGCGGTCCAACTGCAGCCAGCTGAAATGGCCCCTGATAAAAGACAAAGGAAATGATTCACCGTTATCATCCATCATCTTACAGACAAACGAACATATAGAACACGTCGGACCAATTGTGAAAGTGGGGTACAGTACAGTGGGTTTGAAATAAAATCCTTAATAAAACCCCCACACACAAACAAGGCTTTTGCTAGTATGTAATTGTATGCTAGCATGACTTTTGGCATTACACTAGTTATTACCCAAACATTGGTAAATGTAAATGTCAATTTGTAATCTTTAAAATCCTGATTATTAGGGTTTCATGCATTTTTACCCACAAAGAGAATAATGTTTTTTAAGCACAGTCTGATAATATAAATGAGCTGGCATTTATTTTAGTTTTAGTAACCATTAACAACCCGCAGAATCCCAGTTTCAGTTGAGTTACTTACGTTTCATCTGTGTATGCAATTCCAAAGTACTCCTTCTCCTTGAGGTTAAAGTGAGAGGCCACCAGGTCCAGCAAATCCTTGGCCATTAGTTTGGGCTGCAGGGAGAAATAGACATCGGACGTCAGTGTCTCAGTTCTTATACAGGCTATGATTTGCTGTGATGACTTAGCATTCTGACAAGCAACAATCAGCAGCTCTCGGACTGTTGTACCAGGTGTGTGTGTGTGTGTGTGTGTGTATACTGGGTGTGTTGTTTGATCGATTGAAAATTTGTCATGTTTTTTCACCCTCTCAAAACAAATTAACGGTTTTTGGTACAAACCGCGTACAACAGTTTTCATTAGTGAATATCACCAATATGAATTTACATTAAGGCATGTGGGCTTTCAATAGGTATGAAGGCAGTGTTATATAGATGGCAAAGCTCAAAGTGTAATGGGTGACATGCGGTGTGAGTGAGTGTGTGTGTGTGTGTGTGTGTGTGTGTAAGCTTAACCCAAACCACAGGGTGGACCCCAAGCAGTAAATAGCTTACAGCCGGTTTTATTTTTCTTCTCATTAACAAAGGGATGTTTCAGCCAGAAGGAACACCAACGAGTGCTAAACAGCTTAAAATGTCTCACTTTAACTGATAGTTTTTTTGTCAAGGTTAATTATTTTCATTGTTCCATGAAGGGTCACTGTGCCACTATAATTATATATTTTGCATGGGGGAGGACTCAACAAAGAACAAATGATGACATCAAATTAATTTTGTACACAAATAAATGTAATGTTGTTTTTAAAGTGTTATGTACTGTAGTCAACCCTGCCTAATGTTATATACAGTATTATAACAAAATTAGCTTTTGGACAAATTTTTAGGGTCTTCAGACTAAATTATATGCATAAATAAAAAATAATAATAAAATAATACATAATCATTTACTCTAAATACTAAAGTATAAAGGGGTAAATCGTTAGATTTAGAAAAATCAACACCAAAACATCTGGAATTGGAAAGCATGAGTTAAACCGAGTTGAGAAAATGAAAACAATTTTTAACCTGAACTGTGTCTAACATGTATTTTCCTGCCGAGAGCTATTTAAAGAAATAGAGGTGATGTCATACTGACAGCAAGAATGCACATGCACACACACATGCAAGCACACATGCGTGCACACGCACACACACACTGACCTAGATCTTATAGAACTGTGATGCCCACAGTCATGTTGCTACACAAATGACTCCAGAGAGAGCTCAGGCTGATGCCACAGTGATATACAGTGGTTGATGGTTGTTCCTTCTGGCATTTGCATGAGTCAAACCTGTTGTCTTGCTGATAAAGCAACTTGAGTTTCATGCCATATGACTCCTTTAATGCACTAACGGTGCTACAAACAATAAAATTAGGGTTTTAATTTTAAATTTAAGAATACATTAATTCCCTCAAGAATAAACTGATTCAAACTATGTTTATGTTTTAAATTTAGAACGAGACAGGAAAAGCTATTTTATGAGCTGAAGAAAATTATTAGCCACATCCACAAACACTCGTGCCAGTCCTTATAATTATCTAAACAGAACAGTAGTCATTTTTGCTAAAGGAACGCGTTGGAATGTAAAGGGAGGCTTTTCAGGCTATCTTCATCACATTACTTGTAATGCATGTTTTGGTTCAGTGTGAGACAGATCCATTTGTTGGTCTCTTATTACCACACAGCAGTCCGCTCCTAGTCCCACATGTACCAATTAAAGCTGCAAACAGCAAAATAAGGCCTCACACATTTTTGCATTCAATGAAGACACTGAATGCACAAATAAAATCAGTTTGATTTGAATTTTGGTTATTTTGGACCCGACTGAGAGGCAACTGATTTAACATGGAATATTTAGATGCACTTGTCTTCATGGCCAGAATGAACCAATCATAAAACGGTTGATTGAGACGAGAGGATGAATAAAAGATTTAATGATCATCTTACCATTTTAGTCGTCATGTTTAAATGCAATATTCTAAGTGAGCTTCCAAGTAGACCAGCAGTGACAAAGATTGAATGTTATCAAAGAGGTACATTCATTTGAATGGTGTGGACAGGGCAATGCCACCATCAGTAGTGGTTATGGTTGGTTTGCCATGTAAACCAAAATTATATTAATAATTAAGGTGAAGAAATCTAGTACTGAAGGTCAAATGTGGACAAACGTTTTGATGGTAAAACAATTACGTCTTACACACCAGTGGTAGAAATCCTGCCTACAAGTATCCTTTTTAAAGATTAGCTACATTGCTAATTTTATATTGTGGACAATTTAGTGACTCCAAAAGTCAAACTTTTAGCCATACAGTTTTACTTATCAATGATTACTGGTCAACTTCCAATGAAAGTCCTTGTTTGAAGAAACTTTTCAAACAACTTGTCAATCGTTCCCTTAAAATACTTACTAAACATAACTACAGTATATCTCAGGCTTCTGTTAACAGCTGTTACTCAAAAGACAAAAACATTGCGGTGACTGGAAGATAAAGAATAGAAGTCAGAGGCAAGGCAACAAGTCAAGTAGAAAAATAATTTGACTTGATCCTTAATTGTTCTCCCTTCTTCAAGGTTAATCCCTTACACTGCTCAACCCTGTCAAATCTATGCTAGAACGAAGTGAAACTGCTGACCATCAGGGGGCGCATTATTTTTTATTAAGAACCTATGGATAATACTCACTAAAGTAACAAAGAAGAGGTGAGGTTGTATGTGTTTCATACATGTGTAGGCCTAAGAGAAGCAGTTGTTTTTGCCCATCAGTCCAGGTATAGTTAACTGATCAGTACAGTGTAGTACTGATCCTGTTTTTATTTCATTTGGTGAGGTTGTATGTGTTTCATACATGTGTAGGCCTAAGAGAAGCAGTTGTTTTTGCCCATCAGTCCAGGTATAGTTAACTGATCAGTACAGTGTAGTACTGATCCTATTTTATTTAACATTTTTCATAGCTAAAAAAAGTCTAGATAAAAATGATAATTTAAATACTATGCACAACAGTCAGCATAGACCAGTGTTTATGATGTTCACTGTTCACAGTGCTGCGTCACCTGCTTGCTCAGCAGCATTTGAAACTGATACAAAATCATTAATCATTTTTTTCTCACTCTAAAAATATGTGGGGGATGGGGGAGTAGGAGAACATGAAAAACCTCACCTGTACAAGAAGCTCCAGTTTCCTGTCATCAAGGAGATGGATTTGACATCGCCTCCCCTCTGTCATCTGCAAAAAGACAACCACATACATTTTAGTAAGTTAAGCTAATTAAGTTAGCTTAATATATATAGTACGGTAAAGGCTAAGATGAAACACATTGCACATTACATACTGTAGGTAGAACACACATCAGAAAACCATATGATAATCCTACTCATTCATTTTAGTCTTCACAGTGTAAGCAGAGCATATTGTGTCCGTTTGGTAACGAATCCTGTGCAAATCCTTTTCTCTTTCACATCACAGGATTCAGTACCTTGTAGAACCATTTCAGTACCAATAACGGGATGTTCCACTTTTTGTGAGGTTAGCACCAGTCTTTGATGTTTTCTGATGATTTATGAAATATTTTTCTCACAATAGGAGGATAAAATTCAAATTTCTTGAAAATGGACCTTTAACTTGTTTGATAGTGTTAGACTGCACTACACACACTGAGCTCTTCACTCTGCCTCACTGCCTCTGTTCACAAACAATACTTAATGAATTTATAATTTATAATAAAATACTTTCTCAATAATTTAGCCTTTTGGCACCATATTCCTCTTTATTTTAAATACATCATCGTAACTATCGTAACTACAGACTAAAAGTTGTCTAATTGTGTTCTTCTGCTTATTGGATCTGCGTTGTGGCATTAAGGAACTGCCTCTTGCACAGTTATTTTTTATGAATCTTACACAGCAATGCAAAGACTATAGTTTGTGAAGCAGCCAGATGTCAGTGTGTACTCATGTCACTATACTCGTGTTTGTTGTTGCTTATACAGAGTTGGCAGAATCGAAAGACAAAAAGATCATATCCGTCTGACTTGTTCATCCATAAACAGTAAAAACAGGTGCAATAATGAAGCAGTCAACTGTTGCTAAGCTAATGAAGAGTTTACAGGTACTTCAACTGTAGTTTGTGTTTATAAGTTTCACACATATACACTTACCAGCTAAATGAAGAAGTGAAGTGAGACTGGAGTCTACAGTGCGATGTTTGTTCATACTTTCTTTTGTATTTGTGTGTTATGGATGTTTTCAGCTTAAATGGAGTTTCTCCAGATCTTAACAGGAAGCAGGGACCCTGAGGAACACACAAACAGCTCCCCCTCAGGCACTTCCCACACTTCCCTAACATCTGGAAGAAGTGGGGGGAAGGGGGTGCTATGTGGGTTTATTGGTGTTTGAAAGGGTGGAGAATGAGTGGTCAGAGGAGAAAGACAGGAAAAAAGAGATGTAGGGAGACTGAACGCAAGAGATAAAGGATAGGGTCAATAAATGATCCACATAATCAGATATTTCATAACAAATCCCCACCAAACCACCACAGGTGCCACAAACATGAGCACAGGTGCAACCGGTTTGTAACTCTTTACCACAAGAGGGATCATATTGGCCACCTGAGGCTTTGGCAATGCAGTAAAGGGTGTGTCAACAACAGAGGCATAACATCCACCTACTTTTCCCACCACTCCAGTTAGCTGGTAGAGATCAAACTTTGTAAGAAAGCAAAAACAAAAATGAAGGACGCAAGTTTGTTTTTATGTGCTTTTTTTGTGCTACTCTAAAGGGTTTCGTGTACCCACCCACTAACCATTTGTCTTTTCTACTTTGAGGGTTTAGACTGAGTGCACCTGTGCACACAGTAAGTAACACACACACACACACACAACACTTTGCCCTTTGTGCCCATCTTCTGTCTTGGAGTTACATTTCCAAAACTTTTCATGTTTAAACTGATTACAGGGATTTTAACTACCATAATGACAACTGAGTAATAAATCATTACAATTGATTACAGGATAATACAATTCAGATGAAACAGTCTGATAAAAAATGCATACTGCAAAATGGTGATGAGCTGCAGGGCTATAAGAGTCTTAAAACATTAAACAACAAATCTCATCTTAATTCTAACCATTTTGATCAAATTGAGCCTTGGATTGAGGATTCCCACAAGACTTAATAGTAATCTGTCTTTAGTTTCTATATTATTAGCTAAATTATTCTTTTAGCATCAGTGTCATCACAGTAAAACATAATTATAGAGCAAATAGAGAAATAATACAAGGGTGTTTTGTCTCTGAGTTTTCTTTTGTTTAAACTTGAATCCCAGTATATGTACTGTTATTTATTTTATTCATTCTCCTTAGTAAAATCATAGTTCGCTTCACTTCACTTCTTTTTCCATCGCAAAATATGCTGTCATTAAACACAACATGAGAATAAATGAAATCAAGGATTCTAGGCCTATACATTCGTAGTAATAAATATTGATATATACAATTAAAACTGCATTTTTCAAGTTGTTTAACATTTTATATAACATGAAAGAAAGAAAAATAAAACAGAAAACTGTAAAGGATTAGACTTGTGGTCAAAGGACTGCCACATTAGACTCTAAGAAGCAACACCATATGTGGGACATATACATTTTGAAAGTTCACTTCAGAATCTTCACTCCGAAATTATTTTTCTAGTAAAACATAATAAACTGAAGTTCCAAAACGAAACCTTATCAGACTAGGAACAGTAGAGAGGACTTAAATGTTCTACCATTCAGTAATTAGAAAGAGGAGTAGGGGTTGTCCTATATTTTCTTTGGGGCATAAAGAACCAGAATCACGAGCTTAAGGCTGAAAGTTGAGAGTAAGTTCCTGAATGCTGCCAGTGTTAATGCACCACAAGTTCAATATCACGAAGGGTGAAAGAAGACTTCCCAAGGATGCTACATAATTTGGTGGAAGGTATCTTTTGGAGACAGCAGTGAATGGTGCATAGGTCATTGGACAGATTTGGCAACTGATGTGATAAGCAGGAGTTGTGTGTGTATATGGTGTAAAAAGGGGAATGCAGAAGGATTTAGGGTTTTAAGTCAGCAATGTTAAACAAAGAGTAACGTAAAAGAATGTGAGGTGCTAAAGAAAAGTGTAAAAGTGAAATTCTAGGAGAGAATGTAGCAGGAACATATTGGGTGCTATGTAAAGGATGGGAGTAGAAAGGCTTACAATAAGTTGGACGATGGGTTTGACTGAGAGAACGGTGAACTTCATTTGTAGCTGAAAATTGATTACATTGTTATGTCTTGATGAAGGATAGAAGCAGCAGTGTGCTAGCAAGTCAGCAAGTGTTGAGTGTGTTGAGTTGTAAAAAAAGCACTTTGAGGAGATGATGTCAGTAGAAAGAGAGATGGAAAGAGGTTTAGGCAGGAGATGGTGTAGGTAAATGAATACAGAAGTTTCAGGGATGGTAAGAGGAAAGATGAGAGTCTTCAGGTAATGGATCAGAAAAGAACAGTGGTAAAATAAAATTAGTGTTACAACAGCAGTGTGTCCTGCTAAGTTGTTTAGAGGCAGTGATACTGTCAAAGACAAGAGTTGATGTTGCTAGTTGCTAATTCTTAGGTATCAATGTGAGTGAAGAGGATGGAAAATGACATTTAACTACTTGATAATAGATCAAATTTAAGATGGCTTGGTCACAAAGAGAGATTGTGGATATAAGGTGCATAATTTATTATAGATGACAAGAGGGGAAGAGGGCGTAGGATAGAGGGAAATGGAGGCAGATGATCAACTGTGGCGGCCTTTGAATAGAGCAGCCAAAAGATGCAGACAATAACTCTTCGTGGACATTGCCCACTACACTCTACACTACACTCACGCAATGCATCCAATCAGCCAAAACGGATATATGCACATGAAACTGGTGCTGCAATAATGATGCAGTACCTGACGCCCATCATTTATATTGTATGTAGATAACTAACATAAATATTAAGTTCAGCTGAAACAGACATGAAGTACCCATCCCCAAAATTATAGGACCGTTATCTATACTTCTGGTTTTCCCAAACATGCCTGAGTCATCACTCTCCGCATTTTTATGGGTTTAGGTAGTTTTAGCTGAAAAAAAATTAAATGTAAAAATGTACATGCAACATGGTTTAACTGAGTAACTCTGGTTGCTGCCATTTATTGCCACTCCATGGGGAAACTGTTATTAAAAGATGCACCATGAATATTTTCTTTACAACAGGTATAACTTTTGTCAAACGATAAGCAGAAATTAAATCTACACATTTAATGCTTTACAAAATGTAACACAACAATCCTAATGTATTGCTATAAAAATAGATTGAGTGGAAGTAGCAGGTAGAAACAGAATGCATTGGAGTTTCTGCACGATTGCATATTTGGTCAATCAATTGCCTAAAAGTCTTTTCGAATTAAAACATTCTAATTAAATATGATTTTATTCCTGAATAAGGATAATGGAAAATTAATTTAGTGTTATTGTGTTAAAACATTTTGTTACCTACCTTAATGAAAGATAACATTCTTTTTTTTAATTTATGACTCACCCCCTCTGGCCGGCAGTGGTACTGCTATCACAAATGTAATCAAAAACAACAGTGAAATAACATCTGTTTTCTTTATAACGCCTAAAATTTTAAATTATACGTATTACAATAAAATGTGTTATTCTGTTTCTATGTCAGCACGTCGTTATTACGATTATACAAAGGATTTTGGAGTATCTATCTATAAGCAATTTGAATGATGATGACAACCATGCTGCCTGTTTATTTTCAAATCTGGGCGTGAGCCTATAAAGTTCTGGTCATTTTTTTTGGAACGTTAACTCTCCATAAAGCGCTGCTTTCAGATGTTTGTCTCATAGTGAGAATACACGAACCCAGACAGTTAAGAGAAGATCAAGCATTGCTGCTTACGGTGTTTGATTATTCACACACACCGCTGATGGTGATGCTTGCTTGGTCAGTGCTTTCAACCGGCAGTATCGTTATCATTAAAATTACCTTGCAAACAAACGTCCCCTGCGAGGCTCCAACACAAAAAACACAGGTCCAAAGACAAAAAATCTATATATATATATATAAGAATGTGAAATATAAATCCCAGGTAGAAACCACAGAAAAATCCTCAAAAATGCCGGCCTAGAGGAGGAGGCACATCAGCATCCATGTCAGTGAACATTACATCGTTAGGAGCAGCTGAGGTCGTTGTTTTCCCCCCGAATCCACTGAACACTACGCAACGCCTGGCCATCCAAGGCCAGAGAAGACCCACGGAATAACGACGTTCGCCCAAAACTGGCTCCCTCGTATCCCTCCTTTCGAAGGTAGGAGCTTTTCATGGGGTCTAGTCCTGGCCGGCCAACAATCTCCGCCTTCTCCTCCTTCCCTTCCTTCTGTTTCTCGTTACCGGCAGAGTCCACCATTAACAGTGTGTGAACGCGCCGATAACAGCAGACCGTACCATCAATGAAAGAGTTGAGGGGGAGGAGGACGGAGAGAGGTAAGCGACAGGGAGATGCAGGTAATGGTCGACCGTGGTCCAAGTGACAGCGCGTCACTCGCTGTCACCGTAGTTTCCTAAATTTACGGGAATAATGGAAGGGAAGATTTGGGGGCGGGGAAAGGAGGGGTGAGGGAGTAAGAGATTTCTGTTTCAGCAGCAGCAGCTCATCCTGCTTTGAGACACTGAGCTCTTTCTCCCCCTTACTCTCCCTCCTCCCGTCACTCACACACATACACACAAATCCGAATATACTCTCGTGTCTAAATTAAAAAGGACACAGATTACGACAAAAGGAAGTATTTCTACCGCTCACTCCGTGAGCTGTTTCCCACAGTGTCAATAAATGCAAGCGCTAATCCTAATCCGTAACATTTTCCAAAGCTTTATCAACTCAGAATTTAAATCTCCTTATGAAAATACAGAAATACTACGATCACAATATTTTGGTCAATCTCCCATTGAAACCCGTCTAAACAAATGTGAACATATGCCTTTAATCTCTAATCTAATCTCTGTACCAACCTCTATCTCTTTGCCCAGTGGTTACAGTGGACAAGAGTTAGTGTTATACTGTTTTCTTGGTGAATGCTTTTTGCTTCCTCCAAATTAAATTTTAAAAATGGTCAAATATTTGCGAAATATTTTTTTACAGTAGCTCTCCATTTTGCATGTCCCTATCGTTTGTATATGTTCTGCACTTATGGCAGAATAAAACAAAAACACAATATACTTTACCTACTCATTTTGACAGCCTAAAAAGTTGAAGTACGACTGATTAATGACTTCGACTAGTGATCACTGTCTAACATCTCTTTAAAATTAGCAGACAACTTGTTTCTATACATTTAAACCATATTTTTTATTTAATTCACCCCTTGTCCCAACACGCATGTTTTCTACCTCTTTCTTCCCCCACACACACAAACCTGCTAGTGCTTAGTTTGGCTCAAATGATTTCTGGCCCACGCTTCACTGCAGCCTCTGACTTTCTGAATGACCTAACTAAGATAACTGTGTTCATCTAACACAGTTGGGACAGCAACTGTTGAAACCACAAGCTGTTAATGAAACAAAATAAAGCTCATTGCTTGACATGATAGCTTGATAATAATCGTGTGCTTTAAAGGTAGAGATAAGCCCTTACACATCACTCATCTCTCAATAAATAAATAAATACATGTCAGGGTATTTTTTTTAGGTTTGCAGAATTCATGTGAAAGACTCCTTGCAAAGACAGCAAACAACACCCAATTAAAATGAACTTAACTTTAAAGTGGTCTTGCTATCATAACTTTTCCTTCACTAACTTCAGCCTTCTTTGCAGAATGCAGAAGGTCACATGAGAAGTGAGGAGGTGTGTTCTTTCCCATCCTGCTGGATTTTTCTGTTTCCGGATATTTTTGGCCTGTTCCAGACACAGGCCTGGTCTGTCCAACATAAACATCCCCAGCTTATTCGCTCGGTTTCAACACACACACACACACACTACTTTTTCTTCCTCATCCGTTAACCCCATATCTCTTTGTAATCTTTATGAATTACCTCTTACATTTTGGCAGGGGATATGATTATCTTCAGATAAACTAAGGTCAACACATTTTACAGAAAAGGCCAGAGAGCAAAGGAGAGTGAATGTAGGGAAGTTGTTTGTCCACTGATTTCCCTCCCTTACCCCAACAGTATGCTGTCAACTTTTAACAACCGCCAGGGACAGCTACCAACAGACACATATAGGAAAAAAGTCTCATCTGTGTGACCTATTTGGGTCCTGATAGATCCTTGTTGTTTAGTTGGGAGCCTCTATTCTGGGCCAAGGTGCTGATCGGATGTATTTAGTGTATATGGAACATGAGAAAAAAATATGAACGGGCGAGGTGACTTTCATAGTGAGTGGATTGTCACAGTCAAGTTGACGGTCTGAGTTAAAGAAGGTGACCTACATTGGTGATACATGATATAAACAGAGGTTTAGGCTGATATGACACATGCCATAAAAGACTGCTTCGTGATGCAGTCTTCGCGATATAGTTAAATAATAACTATGACATGACTTTAGTTTGCATGCCGCAGCACTTGCATATGGTGCAGATTAGATTTCAACACAACATGCAGTCTTGCTGCCGTGGCCCCAAAGGTCCAGGGTTTTCACAGCTCTATAGAAAACAAAATATAAAAATACAGCCTGCCCAGAAGTTATCTTCTGATATGTATGGTGCCTCGTGTAGAAACAGAGTTGAGATAGGCTGGAAGGATCATGTAAAGATGGCCAGATGGCTGGAATGGAAGCTTCAGAGATGTGGGTTTTCTCCATGTGGATGTAGCATATATTTGGTTTGTGTACATGTATGCTGTATGTGGGTTTTTCTGTGAGAGACCAACTTCCTACATGTAATCATGAGTCACTTTGGGACAGAAATGTGGTTCCACTAATAACATTTTAAATGGGAAAAACACTCATACTTGGGAACTGTGGGTATTTATAACCCAGGAAATGGAACAGGGACTATGATATAAACTGACAATTTGAGACTTTTTTGAAAACATCTCTTTAATGCTCTTAATTCAATATATTCTTATCTGTACCTATTATATATAATCTATTTTTTGTATTTGTACACTCTGTGTTCTTGACTTGCCTTTTTTAATAAATATGTCAAAGACAAAACTAATACATTTTTGAGTGAGTGTTCGTACATTTTCTGTAAAATATACTCCGAAACAGGGGGCGCCAGCTAAAATCTTGTCTAAATTAGTTAGGACCACTATTGGAAAAAGTGTTTCAAAACAGTAGTTTAATAAGTTCTGAAAGTCTAGAATTCCTGTTTTCATTCCTTAAATTCCAGACCAAAGAAAGTACTTAATTGAAAAATCCACTAGAGGCACTACTACCACACTGTGGGCGTATGTATGTGATTGTGGAGAGAGGGCTGGGTGTGCCTGTCCTTACATCTGCTTCGTGTTTGGGATTTAATAGATCTGAAGTGACTCAGTTACTAAAGAAGCTTCTGAAGTGATTGGGTGAAGAGCAAGGTGACTTACAACAAAGACACCAACAAGGAGAGCATAAGAACAGGAAAAGTGTTGCCATGAGGGTTGATCTTTGCATGCCTATTCGTGTGTGAGACATGGTCAAGTCTGAGTCACTTACAGGGCATGGATAGTCCCCCTGCCTCCGTATTGCTTACACACACACACACACACACACTTCTCTTCCCAACTCATAGCTTTTAGACCCCACTTGTACATCTTTGTAAAAACCAGGGTGTTGGGATAATACTCAAATACTCAAGGGGACAATACTCAAATTAACCCAGAACTATTTGAAAAAGCTCAAGGCAGCACATTCATTTGTTGTGAGAGAACCGAAAACCGAACTTTGCACTGATATGTCTAAGGGCAGACTGAGATTAAATTCACATGAAGAAAGGGCACTTTTGATGTTGATCTACATCTCTGGCAGAACTCCACTGGAGTGTCAGTACTGTAACTATTAGAAGCGAGCACGTAAGAAAAAAGAAACAGTCATGGGTGGCATTACAGTAGATCATTGATTCATTATGTTGCTGTAACAAAGGTGTTTAATGTGGTGTAATAGTCTAGGTTTTCTAACTTTAGGAATGTTTGTCTTAGATAGAGAAAAGAGCCTAAATGGAGACCAAACACAAAATAACAGTCAGGCCTGTGGATACTCAGTAGCGACATCACTTGCCTTGCAGTACTGTGGAAAGACGTGGATACCCTCTCTACATAGAACTGCTGGGTTTGTCCAGTTGGTGTCAGCTGCATTCAGGGCTGGAGACATGCACAGAGAATACTAATGACATCATGAAAGGTCTTAGTACTGAACCAGACATGGTCAAGTGAATACTGAGTGGCAATCATTTTGCAGAGTCACAGCGAGAAAAAACTCAACACACAAAGAATGCATTTGGGTTCTGAAACTTTTGAGAAGTCATAGTGGCTAATCTGTAATTTAAAACTCATTATGTGACGTTTTATATGCAAGCACAACTAAAACAATCCAGGTCTAGAAAGTGTGAAATAATTAGAAGGGTTTCACAGACAAAGAGGAGAAGGTTGTATGCAAGGGCGTATAAATCATTCAAAATTGTTTGTTTTTTCTAGCCTCATATTAGTCTAATGTCTACTGTAGGTATAGATTTTCTTTGTGACGGTGGATTCATTGTTTTTACAGCAACACATGTTGAGAAACGATCTTCTGTCTTTGCATTTGGGTACAAAAACTGACTTTTTTGACCAGCGACATCACTTTGAGCTGACCTGACTGCCATAGTTTCTTATGTCCTCTATATGAAAACAGAGCTGAATATAGCCCAAATACTTCACAGCGTACCACACACATTGGATTTAGTAACAAAGTTGTTAAAATAATAACTTTGAGCAACATTACTGATTTAAATGGGATATCAGCAGGCATTATTATCACTCCGATCCAAACTTTTTTTCTTTCTCATGAACAGAGTGGGCTTACAGTACATTATTCATTCATTATCAACTGCTTAATTCTTTTTAGGGATTAGGCAAGGAAGACTCACACACACACACACACACACTCACATACCTAAGGTCGGTTAAGAGTGTCCCATCAACTTAATCCCCTGTGGGAAGAAGCTGGAATAAACCCACACACAGACAGGGAGAATGTGCAAAGTCCACAGGGATGAACAGTGACTACTTACAGCAGGGGTGCCCACATTTGTTTTGGCTTGAGCGCTACTATTCAAATGACCAGGCTAAAGTGATCTACCTACAAAGATATTGTTAAATATATTTTACTTTATATAATCTGAACATACTTCATAAATGCATTATATGTTAGGGTACTTATTAAATGCATGTCATTTATGGCACAACTTAATTTAGTTCTTAAATTATACAGTATGGTTACTATTGGTATACTATTGTACACACACAGAATTACTTTTTTAATTAATTTATTTAAATTGCTCAAGACCCATCAACATTGCAACAACATTTGCTTCTGTGTTCCATTAACATTGTATATACTAATGTTTAACATGAGAACCATTTTTTCCAAACCCTTTTCATAAAACAAGTTATACATTTTGCCCTGCAGACAAAAACATTTAACAACAAAGTCAGGTGTGTTGGCTGTCTAAAGTAGTGACATAAATCAGGCACGCTCTACAACAACAACCGAACAAAACATATTCCACACTTTTACACCAGGAAGAAGCCGCAAATCTAGTGGCAGATGAAAGTAAAATAAATGCAAATAATGTTATTGAATTTAGTTATTTTTCAGACATAAATCTTACAGATCAATTCTCACAATACTAAAAAGACAATTTCTTGATTGAATGTCATCAAGTATGCCTTCTAACACTTGCAGCCTGGCTGTGAACACCCTAAGGATTTCTGTATGAATAAGGTGAGGTGACAATTGTTTATACTTTATTGTATATATTTCTTAGAGAGTGTTATTTAATAGAGAATCCCAATTGCACAGTAATAAACTGCCCTTCCACCTGATTTGACTGACTGGATTAAATGGGCCACTCTGAGATGTTATATCGATTCAATGGGTCGATTATGCTCTGCTGAGTTATTGAGTTTCCATGAACTGTTGGTACCAGGGATTCTGTAGCATATATGTGTGTTTTATACACTATATGTATCATATACATTTTATTGTTGAAAGACAAATGTATGTATTTGTATTTATTCAGCTGCTATTGACTTGTTTCTTCTAATAATTATCTACAATTTCTAAATAAAATTTGGTAAGTCTAAGGGGCAAGCTAGTCCTTCATATCACAGGATTATTATCCATGGTGAAACCAATATAGTGTTCTTCTGTTGTTCTCTAGTGCTTCAGTTTCATGTCACAGAATAGAAGACCTCTGTTTTTCAACTCTACAGCATCAGTTTCCCATCCCCCTGGTATTGCCCTTTTAGCAGAGTCATGAGAAACCCAGAGAATGTGTGAGATATTTGAATGGTGTGAACTTTCCAAAATGAATCAGAGTTTGGCTGAAGGTAAAGACGTTCGACTCTCACCAACTGTAATTTATGAGTGGGTGTGTAAATATTTGCTGCGCTGGGAAGGTTTGGTATGACAGTGCGCTGTTCCCACGAATCTGTGTATTTGCAATGTCCTGCTGGATCTTGGAAAAGGTCATGTAAACTCTGTGATGTAAACAGACATCGCCACAGTGCTGGCTTTTTGGGGCTTTTACCACATATAGCAAAGAATGCTCCTCCTTGTGATGGACAAATACCAGAAAACAACATGTTTTACTTCATTCCAATCGTACATATTCATTTATTTACTAGTAATGGTAACAGTTTGCCGTTCCCTGACTTAAAATAGACCATAGTTGGGAAGTCCTACAGTTACAAAAAATACTTTTTACTCCTTCCTGTCGTTCACTCACTCGTTTCTTGGTTCTTCATCAAAATCTTTCTCTGATTTCCCTAAGGCGGGGGTCACCAATTAACATTGACTGTAGGTCAAATATTTTTCAAGCCATTACATGGTGGGCTCAAACAAAAAAAGACCTCCTTATATGGCATGCATTTGGTGCATAAAAGATGGAGAGGTATTCATTGAAAATGAACAACCTCCACAGGGGGCATAGCAAAACCAAAATGTTTTTTCCTTTACGTTATCATTAACAATAAATGTGGAGTCTGCGTGCAGTAGTGTGTAGAGAATCTTTTTATTCCAATAAAGATTGTACAGTGGAACCTCGAGATACGAGCGCCTCGACATACAAGAAAAGAGCAATCCTTTGAGCAAATTTTTGCTTCAAGATACGAGTAAAGATTTGAGATACGAGCACGCTTACAGACAACGACGCTAGGTGGCTGAGCACTCAAAGCAGCCCACGCCACCTTACTCGTTCACTTGACGTGTTCGGTGACTTCTGTAAGCATCGCTTCCATGATTTTCTCTCTATTTTGTGCATTATTTAAGAAACCGTCCTAAAGTAAAAAAAAACAACAAAAAACTTAATTCTAAGTTTATGTAAGTTTCGTAGTGTATGTGTAAGCTATGGTACGGAATCAAGTGTCTACGTACTGGCCAACTTTCTTCCCTCCCTTCCTCACATCCCGCCATTAGCCACTACTGTACTGTGTCTCGAAGGTAAGAACTCAGTAAGAAATTATTCAAGATACGGGCACCTCGAGTTACGATCTCGGTCCTGGAACGGATTATGCTCGTATCTGGTGGTTCCACTGTATATACTTTTATTCTGATAACTACCCACTCTTCCTAGACATAGGCTGATTGCATACTATATGTACGTACATTACGTATGGCCAGTGAAAAAGTCAGTCTTTTAATCAAAGAATTCAATGAAACGCATGAGAGGAATGAATTGACCGTAAATACCAGTGAACTGCCTACCATTTTAAGAGATATCAACATACCCAGATATCCACAAACGGTCTCCACAAGGAGACCACACATTTTACTCTAAGGGAGTATTAGGCCTATTACTATATAGTATATTAGGGGATTGACAGAAAACCAATTTGTCAATGCATCAACGTGAGTGGCATTAGTCAATGCCCTGGGCTGAGTTAAAAAGCTGAAAGCATTATTGACATCTGACTAAAAGTCAAAATCACCTTATCAAATTGGCGG